AAGAAGCAGTCAATCTCTGTGAGTTTGAGGCCAGTCTGGGCTAATTAGTGAGTTCCAGGACAGTCAGGGCTATATAGAGAGACCCTGTCTTGGGAAACCAAAACCAGCCATCCAACCAGAAAAACAAAAACAAAAACAAAAAAATTCAAATAAACCAACAAGGCAATAAAAACCTAAAATAAATAAAAATGTTAAAATGAGATTTGTGGTGGGGGGGTTGTGGAGTGCACTTACGACAGGCACTTATGTGGACAGTGGTCTAGAGGTCAACCTTGTCTGTTAAAACCCAAGTGCTGTCTACCTTGTCTTATTGGTCTCTGAGGTTGCCAATTAAGCTAGGCTGGCTGGTCAGGGTCTGCCTGCCTCCACTTCCCAGTAAACCAGTTCAAGATACCCATCTTTTTGTTTTCTATGAGGGTGCTCTAGAAGGAACCCAGGCCCCCATACTTGCACAGCAAGTGTCTTACTGACCCACCCAGTCCCCAGAAATGAGTCTTTTTAGCTAGAAAATTCCACGAAGATTTAGTCTCAGACTGAACAGTTTTCCTTATCAGTCCATCTTTCCTTTTTCCTGTTGTCCTTATTTCTCTATTATTTGTATATCCACCCAGGCATGAAATTTCAGAGATGCGATTTCCCAAAACGTGAAACAATGAGGGGGAAAAAACGTGAACTTCTTTATAATGTCGGGAAAGCAGCAGTCACTGTGGGGTAAGGAGGATGCACAAGCAAACTGTTGGGTTGCTTTTCTCCTTTGCAGATTTTTATTTATTAATATGAAATGGAAATCTTTGAGCCTCCTGCAGTATTTGCTTTAAGCTGATCAATTTAGCAATTCAGAGGCCTTGAAGAGGGAAAGGAGAATAATTTGTTGATAAACACACTTATTTTTCTTCAGATGTTTGGAGAATGAAACAAGTTTGGCATTGTTTCAGGACATTGGGGTTTTTCCATTTTGGCTTTTTCCACTTTTACCTTCAAGTCATCCATCTCCTTGGCGCTATCTAGTCCGTCATTGTCTTGTCATCAACTGTTCTTCAAAATGGCTCTTTGTTTGGTACTCTTGTTACCACCACCAATCTGAGCAGCAAGCCCCTGCCTCCCCCAAATGAGTCTATTTTAAAGGGGAAAAGAAGATTATCAAATAGGCTCCCCCCAGGACACTCGTGTACTGAGTGTACAAAGGAACTATACAGCCAAGTGGTGCTGGTGAATTATTTTGCTTGACACAGGGTCTGTGTAGCCCTGACTGGCTAGAACTCGCTATCTAGCTGAAACTGGCCTCAAACTAGAGCTCCACTTACTTGTGCCTCTCAATTCCTATAATTAAAGGCATGTGCTACCATGCCTGGCTAATTTTAATGTACAGAATAATAATTATTTTCATATTTATTGTGTTTGCCTGCATGTATGTGTGTATCATGTTGATACGTAGTACCTGCAGAAATGAGATGAGGGCATTGGATCCCCTGGAACTGGAGTTACAGATGCTTTTGAGCCACCATGTTGGTGCTAGGAATGGAACCTGGGTCCTCTGCAAGAGCAACAAGTGTCCTTAACCACTGAACCACCTCTACAGCCCTTACTGTTATTTTTGGAACTCCGTGCTGTTGAGGATAACCTTGAAGTCCTGGTCTGCCTGCCTCTGCCACTCCTGAGTGCTGGGATTACAAGTGTGTGCCACCATGCCCAATTTATTCAGTGTTGAGGGTGGGACCCAGGGCTTCTTGCGTGCTAGGCTAGTACTCTATCAACTAAACTGCAACCCCAGTCTGAGAATTCTTTTTGTTGTGTGTATGTGCCATTGCTCATGTGTGTGCAGGCCTGTTGGTAGATGTTTATTTCCCACCTGCCAGTTCCCAAATAAATGACATGTAGACTGAGTATTAATTATAAATGCTTGGGCAATAGCTCAGGCTTGTTACTAGCTAACTCTTGAAGGCGTGGAAATTAAGGATTCACCAGACTCACTATGAATGATTAGTGGAGTTTTATTGGTGGAAGAACTTACATAGAAAATGGTGACTGTCGCCGGCGCTCCTGCTCCAAGGACACAGTCCTGACTCCTCAATGCTCTCCAAGACCTCAGTGCCCCCCGCCCCCCACCAGCCCCAATCATTTTCCTTCAACCTGTCATGTCCATACTTGTAACCACACTGAAAAAAAAGGCATGGCCACTGTTACAGGTGTCCAGGCAAATATATCGCTACAAACTCTTACATTTTAAATTAACCCATATTTCTTATCTATGCTTTGTCATGTGGCTTGGTACCTTTTCTGAGTACCGCATGTCCATCTTGCTTCTCTGCATCTGCTGGCGACTCCTCAGACTCCTTCCCATCATTCTCAGTTTGACTCTCCTGCCTAACCTTATCCTGTTTAGCTATTGGTCAGTCAGCTGCTTTATTAAACCAATCACAGTGACACATAATCACACAGTGTAAAAGAATATTCCACACAGGTCAGAGGACAATCTTCCTTTGTCAAGTTCATCAATGCCACTCCTCTCCCCTCAAGCCCCCCTCCAAACCCCCCCCCCCATAGTTAGTCTCTTACCTCCTGGAACTTGCCAAGCAGGCTAAGCTAGCTAACTGGCTGGTCCGAGAGTCTCAGGGGTTTACCCGGTTCCATCTCCTAGTGCTGGTGTTATACACTTTATACACATGTGCCACCATACCCAGACGTAATTTTCTTTTACTTTTTTTTTCTTTTTTTTTTTTTTTTTTGTTTTTTGAGTCGTTTTTTTTCTGTTTTTTTGGTTTTTCGAGACAGGGTTTCTCTGTGTAGCTTTGGAGCCTGTCCTGGCACTCACTCTGGAGACCAGGATGGCCTTGAACTCACAGAGATCCGCCTGCTTCTGCCTCCCAAGTGCTGGGATTAAAGGCGTGTGCCACCACGCCCGGCTTTCTTTTCCTTTTTGTGTGTGTGTTTTGCCTACACGTACATTTGTGCGCCACTCATGTGGCTGGTGTCTGTGGAGGCCACAAGAAGCTGTTGGATCTCCTGGAACTGGAGAGTTCAGATGGTTGTGAGGTGCTGTGTGGGTGCTGGAGATCAAACCCAGGTTCTTCTGGAATTGGAGTCATCTCTCCCTAGTTCTCTAGCTGCTTGGAGCCATCTCTTCAGCCCCAGATGTTTTTTTAAACTTGAGTTCTGGGAATCAAACTGAGGTCCTTAGACTAAGGCATTCTAAGAGTTCCATACAATGTATTATGATTATATTCTTTCCTCTTCCTCAGTTCTTCCCAGGCCCTCCCTTCCCCTCCTACTCACTCATGTACACATGTTTTGTGCAATGATTTGTGCTGGCCAGCTAACTACTCCTGCCATAGTGTGGTAAAGACAAAGGCTCATAGAGCCCAGACTGGCCTCAAACTACATAGCCAAGGCTGACCTTAAACACCTGATTCTCCTGCCAAATTACTTGCATTACCATGCATATACCACATTGTCTGGCTTTAGAATGTTTTTTTTTTTTTTCTTTTTTTGGGGGGTGGTTTCGAGACAGGGCTTTTCTGTGGCTTTGGAGGCTGTCCTGGATCTCTCTCTTGTAGACCAGGCTGGCCTCGAACTCACAGAGATCCACCTGCCTCTGCCTCCTGAGTGATGGGACTAAAGGTGTGCGCCACCACCGCCCCACTAAAATGTTTTTAAAGTTTTCCTTTCCTTGGTCAAAAATCAGTATAGTCATTAGCACAATGAAAAACAAAAACAAAAACCCTACTCTTCCTATAACTTGTACTAGAAAAAAAAAGACTACCTACCAGAAAACAGTGTTTATGAAAACCAGTCAGGTACATCTGACCAATAGGAAAGCTGTAAAAGTGCGTACTGGAGATATGCAGTGATGGCCTGGGAGCAAGCCCTTGACACTGTTTCTCCCCACCCAACCTTCCTGCAAGATGTGAGGCAGGAGGCTTGGGGAGCAGGGTTACTGCTGTCATCCTTCCCACATCTACCAGACCTTCCCATGTAGTGTGGCATTCAAACTCCCAAACTTCTGCACTGTTTTTAGGAAGGCTGTTCTGAGCTCTCCTTGGGGCACTTCCCTTTGCCTCAGGTCCCTGTGGGTATGACAGGAAGCAGGAGCTGTATGGACCAGGTTGCCTGGAGAGGTGTCCCTCAAGAATCAGCCCTCTCAGCTCTGGGGTTGGGGATGAGGGGGTAGATGGGAGGCCTGAGCCATGTGATACAAACCCCATGCCAGTTCATGTTTGTTTCATTCCTCTAGTGTTACAGACACTTGGGCCAACTTTGGAAGATCTGTGCCCCTATAGCCCCACTCCAAAGGCTCTGTCAGATTTAACTGGATGAGGCCAGTGTCCCTACTGCTGTGCCGTTACTCTGCCTGTTGGTAACTTAGTTGCCCCCATTCATAAAGTGAGAGTGAGGGGTAAACCCAGAGCTTGTAAAGGAGTTGATCAAGCTGTGAAGGCATTGTTCTGACCGAAGCTTTGCCAGGTGGTCAGGGTTGGGTGAGTAAGCAAAATGGCACACACCTATAAATCTATTACTTTTGAGAACAGAACATGGCCAGCCTCTGTTACAATTTGGCAAGTTTGAGGCCAGCCTGGTCTACAGGACATCCTATTTCAAAGAAAGCAACAACAAAAAAAAGAGGGTGGAGGGACTGGGGGTGTAGATAAGTGATGGAGCCATGTGCCCAGCATGATCCACCCCTGAGCCTTGCAATAAAACAAAACAGAGAGGTGGAGAGGAGTGGGCAGGCGGCACTTGGGGTGTGGGGAGCTTTTCTTTGGGACAGTTTTGTGTACCTTGTCTCCAGCTCCTGGGACTTCTCAAGTGTATAAGCCAGGGTGGGTGACTGTGTGGTGTTTTACCTTTTGTGGGGGCTCCAAGTGTGAGTTTCAAGGGCTCCTCTCAGCAGTCCTAGCCAGGAACATCCCAGCCAGACTGAGGAAGTCTCCAGTTCTCAGGGTTCTACCTTCCAAAGCCATACCTGGGACATGGGGCATGGGACAGTCAGGGACAGAGACAACTTGTTGAGTGACAGTTTATTGGTCCTTAGCATTACATCTTAATCTCCAAGGGAAATTCACAGACACAACTGCAGGTAAAAACATGTAAAATAATATAAAAATAAATTGAAGGCTACTTTTATATATTTACTGAATTAAGTAGTGTAATAAATACTATAATAAGCAAAAAGCTTCAATCACACAGTTCAGTTTCACTGAAGTTATAGTAGTGTTTGTAAATATGAATTTTTAAAATTTAAGTTACAAATATTAAAGCATTGAAAAACTAGTATAAAAGTGAATTTTGGCACGTAAGCGAGCTCTTCCATTAGTATCTGACTGAGGGACAGTGAGAAAGTCACTTCCCACCAGTTTTTGAGGTACAGCTATCAACTAGTTAGCAGCACAGCTGGAATACTTAACAGTTTAGTCTTTGAGTTGAAAGTTTCCCTTTTGAGAAGCCAGAGCTTATTACTGTGCAAAAATTCTCCAAAATCCTAACAGGATTTAGGAGGGATATTTGTACTGATCACAGCCTAAAGGGCTAGTGTTCAGGCCTCAGGTCAAAGGGCCTGAGGGCTTGGTTGGGCCAACCTGGCTCCAATATTTGCTTCCTCCCTCCAGTCAACAAGGGGAAATCCCACATTAAAACAAAACAACCCATAACTTCAGTGACTTCACCACTATCACACTCACTCTGGTGATAAAAACTGAAGCTGCTAACAGGAAAGCTGGTGGGAAGCACACAAGCCCCTGGAGGACTTTGCCTATCCTGGGAACTGATCCCTAAAATCCTTGCTGGGTCCCTGCTATCCACTTCTAAGATCAGGGGCTGAAACAGCGCCATGGCTTTTCCTCATGAGACAGCCTCAGACCACACTGTTTGACTCAAAGGTCAAAGTGGATGTCAAATCCCACTGTCAAAGTCAAGAGACCCACAGGTTGTAGGGAACAGCCCAGGAGAAGCCTGGTCCTCTCCTGGTCCTCAAAGAACTCACAGTGTGTGGTTGCTGGGCCCCTACAGACTCCCAAGCAGGCTGGGAACATCTACGGAGGCTTCAACTGGCAAAGAACTTCTGAATATTCTGCCTTTTATTCAAACCCACAGTTTTATATTCACGTTGAGGTAATCAGTTTTCCCTCTGATGAGAGGAACAGGGGCAGTGGGGCAGGTTGGTGAAAGCACATTTCTATGGACAATGGTCAAAAACCAAGTTCACCACACAGCGTGGCCCCAACCCCTCTTTAAAAACCTTTTTGTGCAGCAGCCAGACTGCCAGGCCAAAGCAGCCAGAGCTCTTAATCTAGAGCTTCCACTGAAAACTTCACAGTAACCCTGCAGGAAATGAAATGGCCTGTAGTTCTCCCCCCACCCCCCTAAAGGAAATGAAATAGCTTTGTGGTCCCCCTTTCCCTTTTCTAAGGCTGCTAGCTCAAATTTTAGTTTTTAAAAAGAGCTTGGTGAAGATAACTCATTGCTTATTAATCAATTGCACTTAAGATCTATGCTACTGAACCCCAGCCAGAAGTCAGGGATTTCCAGACTGGAGCTCAACAGGAGGGCCTTGCCACCAGTGTATTTTGGAGCTGGGATTAGAGCATATGGGCCTTTCTCACAAGCTTTTCTTAATGCAAGAATTCTTATTCAAATGCTACTTGTAATTTGGCTTGTTTGGTTCAAATATTTTCTTCCTAATAAAAGTATATTTTACTGACAAGCCTTGATTATTATTTTGCTTTTTGCCCATGGCCTCATATGCTCCATCTACCTCTCCGCTGTGCCAGGGCCCTCAAAAGCCTCTCTACATTACAGAACGCGACACTGGCTTTACCTATGTGCTTCTTTCTCAGCATGCAGAAAAGTCCAAGAAACTCAGAAAACGGTCATAGTCCAAGCAGCAGAGGCACTCACATCCTAGCAGATGTCACCTTTAGTGACCTTGCTCCTCACTCTAATTAGGAAGGTCAGTCTTGGGATGCAAATTAGTTTACCTTTGTAGTACGGTCCAATCTAAAAAAAAAAAAAACACTGGAGGGGATTCTAATTTAGATATCAGAATTCTTGAAATTCCTGGTCCTCAGGAACCAAGTAAACAAATCCAGGGGCAGTTTCAGATGAGGTTTTCTGAAATGTATTGCCTTCCATGACAGGGGGTGATGAAGCTGGGTGTCAGAGACCAACAGCCCCCAAACGATTAGACCCTGGGCCCAAGACTAACCAGTTGCAGGATATTCACCTTGGCGGGAAGGTGAGGCACTGCCAGGGTTTAGGCAGCAGGCCTGCTCTTGTCTCTGAATCAGAGAACCAAGCGATGCCACAGCGGCTCTCTAGAACCAACCCCGGGAGTGCTGCTATTAATGCAGGGGCCTCACACTCGAAGAAAGCATCCTATCTTGCTTTCATTCATCCCACAAAAGTGCTCTCATCTAGAAGGCATTGTGGATGTCTGCCTGGCCACTGCTTAGGAAACCAGGGCTCTTTCTGTATCCCAACAGCTTCACTGTGTAAGCCAAAGGCTTCTCCTCAGAGCTGCTCACCCTGTGCACAGGCCCCACTCAGTTAGGGTGCAGAGAGAAGAGAGAATAAAGACGACATGTACTACTCTGGCAGGCACAGGCCAGGGAGGACAGAGACAGCCCCTTCAGGAGGGGCCTCCTAGGAAAGATGGACACCCATTCATTCATTCATCTCTATTGGGCACAGGCACAGCTTTCTTTAGGGCTTCTGCTCAAAGAGGTCACGGTATTCCTGCTGCTCCAGCTCACGGTTGTACCTCTCAATCTCCCGATTGGCCTCTTCCACATAATCATTCATGAACTGGTCCATTACTGGCACCTGGTTAAGGTGGTAAGATATGAGCCTGGAGGACAGGAAGGAGCGCTTATCCCAGGGGGACCTATGGGAACCTGAGGTATGGGAAACCAAAGTGTCTGACACAGAGTGAGTACCTCAGCTACAAGGAGGGGTGACAGGCGTCATCAAGTCCCAGAACCAGGCTCTTGGGTTTTATTACACATTGAAGCTTGCTAGTCTTGTACTCCATCCTGTCCTTCTCTTCACACAGAGACTGCTGTAATGGGCCATCTGCACTTTGTATGCCATGACCCTGTTGTTACCAGTGCTGCCTTAAAACCACACTGCTTGAGAGGGAGGAGTGATGAGCAAAGGGGTCAAGACCAGGTTGGAGAAACCCACAGAAACAGCTGACCTGAACAAAAAAGGGAGCTCATGGATCCCAGAGTAATAGCTGGGAAACCAGCATAGGACCAACCCAGACCCCCTGAACGTGGATGTCAGTTTGGAGGCCTTGGCAATCTATGAGGCCTCTGGTAGTGGATCAGTATTTATCCCTAGTGTATTAATGGACTCTGGGAACCCATTCCACATACTCTCTCAGCCTAAATACACGGGGGAGGGCCTAGACCCTGCTCCAAATAATATGACAGACTTTGAAGATCCCCCATGGAAGACCTCAGCCTCCCCAGGGAGAGAAAGGGGGTGGGATAGAGGGCCAGTGGGGAGCAGGGGAGGAGGAGAGGGAAAGGGAACTGGGATTGACATGTAAAACAAGCTTGTTTCTAATTTAAATTTAAAAAGAAAAAATGAAAAAAAAAAACCCACACTGCTCAATAAAAGGCAAATCTAATACCAACAACTTTAAAAGGACAACATGGTGCCTGTGGGGTTTGTCCCTGCGAGCTCCTTCAGGACTACAGACCCTGCCTGCTCCTAGGACTTAGCTGTGCTGGTCCTAGCAGATACCCATTTTTACAGGAGAGGCTTGCATCTCCCATATTTTCACACTGGGGTTAAACTGTTTTCAAGGATACGTGGGTGAAAATCGGTCTTGTCCCCAAAGAAGTTAACAAATTGGGTGCCATTGTAAAAGTAGCCTGCAGGAAGGGGATCCAAGTGGCGTTTCACCTGTTGGAAAAGAATCCTGTTGAATAATGTGACAACTTTTTACCATTCATTCAAAACAAATAAACAGCTGGGCATGGAGGCCCATGCCCTTATTCCTAGCACCCTGAAGGCAGAGGTATGTGGATCTCTAGGAATTTGAGACTAGCCTGGTCTACATAGCGAGTTCCAGGCAAGCTGACTGCATAGGTAGCTCAGCTGGGAACTGAACCCAGAAGACCTGGGTTCAGTTCCAAGCACCCACATGGTAGTTCACAACCATCTATAACTCCAGCTTCAGAGATCTGACACCCTCTTCTGGCTTCCACAGGCACCAGGCATGATGCACAGACATTGGGACTAGCAACAGCCCATGATGGGGCTTAGAATGTAGCTTTTGGTCTTCTGTCCTGAGGCCTCAGTGTACATGAGCTTTGGGAAGAGGTTTGGGATCAGTCTGCTATTAGTAACACTTACCCAGGAAATCTCACTTTGGCCTTAGGATCCCACAGCCTTCCATGACCAGCTCTGTCTATATGGCTTTCTTCTGGGCCTCAGCTGACTTCTGTGTGATTTGTCTTAAGCAGAGATCTTGTAAAGCTACTTGGGCAGGTTGAGAAGGGCAGGCTTCCCATTACCCAGTCCTCTGACAGGACCAGATCTCTTCTGCTTCATCGACAGGTCACAGCAGAAGTGCCCACTCCATTTACTGAAGCTACAGGTCAGGCTTCCTGACCAGCTTCCCTTTGTGTCCAGAGAGAAGCAAGACTGCCAGGGTATCTACAAATAGTCCCTCACCCTGTGAACGAGCCCAGGACAGCACTACAAGTCTAGGCCAAGCACAAAGGGAAAGGTAGGGCAGGCGGCCACTCACATGGATGGTCTTGATCTCCTGCTGGGTCAGCATTCCCCTGGTTTTCAGAGCTTTCCTCTGAGGCCTCTGTGCCGATGTGGAGAAAACATATATTTCAGCAGAGCTGAGAGAACACAAGGGTAGCTGAAGGCGCAAAGGAGTGTGGGGGCCAGTTACATGGCAAAGATCCCAGAAGGAGGAAAAGCGAATGAACTAGCTTTTGTGGATATAATATCTTGCTTGTCTACTCCCCTGAGGAAACTACTTTCCCACCACAGAGCCCTGCAAGATAGTTGGAAACAAATGGTAGAGAGCCTAGTGCTTTACAAATGGGCATAGTCCTGCCTCTTGGCGGATTCTGGTGCTTAACCCACAACAATGACAGGTAACGGACAGCCTGAGGTTTCACAGTCTAGTAACATTTAAGACCAAAGCAGGGAGTGGTGACACACACCTGTGATCCCTGCACTTGGGAGGTTAAAAGCGGGAGTATTAAAAATCTGAGGCCAGCCTGGCCTAAGTAGTGAGATTCCGCTTAACCACCTCAGTCAACAAACCACCCAACCTCCTACAAAACACCTCTTTAAACAAAAGCAAAAGCAGAGCTGGGTGGTGGTGGCACACACCTTTAATCCCAGCACTCAGGAGGCAGAGGCAGGAGGATCACTGTGAGTTTGAGGCTAGCCTAGGCTTCAGAGGGACTTCTAGGACAGCCTCCAAAGCAATACAGAGAAATCCTGTCTTGAAAAACCAAACCAACAGAAACAAAAGGAAGGGAAAAGCAGAATTTACCCATGTGAGGCAGCTCATAGCTCCTATAAGACTAGTATCAATGGAAAAGACCAAGGACCCATGAAACTCTACTCCTGGAGAGTTCCAGGACAAGCCAAACCACCAACACTGCCTGCGCTCAGCACTGCAGCTTCCAGAGGACCTGGGGTTGACTTCCAGCCCCCAATTATCTGTATCTCTAGGAGATCTGACCTCTTCCAGCCTCCACAGGCACCAAGCACGCATGTGGTGCAGACATATGTGCAGGCAAAACATCCATATACATAAAATAAAAAAAAGTACACGGGGCCAGGCCTTTAATCTTAGCACTCAAGAGGTAGGGGGATCTCTGTGAGTTCGAGGCCAGTCTGGTCTACATAGTTCCAGGACAGCCAGGATTGTCACAGAAAAACCCTGTCTTGAAAAACAAACAAACAAAAAAACCCCCAAACCAAGCTGGGTGGTGATGGTACATGCCTTTAATCCTAGCTCTTGGGAGGCAAAGGCAGGCAGGCAGATCTCTGTGAGTTTGAGGCCAGCCTGGTCTACAGAGGACAGCCTAGAACTAGAGCTATACAGAGACCCTGTTCAGAAAAACAAACAAAAAAACCCAAATACAAAACATAGTAATTGCCATATCTGCCTGGAGTTTGCCCCCACAGGCTGCTTCTTAATCCCAAAATGTCCCTAAGTATTGACTGAGCCTTGAGGTAAATACTAGTGGGTGTTAGAGGGAAGAAGGTCAGAGTCAGTGGACTGTACTGGTCATGTCTGGGCTCAGCTATGTTGGTTTTGCAAGTCACCTGCTTAGCTGACTGTCGAAGCCAGTCCTTGAGGCTGTCCTCCTTCAGGGAACAGCCGATGAACACAAGGTAGCATTCTGGCTGCCCACTGTCTTGAGGTGTGCTTCTTGAGTTGGGGGGTGGAGTGGGTCCCTCCAAAACTGGCATAATGCTCAGGGAGTTCGTTAAAGTGTTGTGACAGACCTCCATGGTCTTTTCAGAATCTGCACAGAGAACACAATTGTCCCTGAGATCAAATCCCAAAAGAATGCTACACTGTAAGTGTTGGCAGGTTGACAGATTCCTAAGAACTGACATGATGGGTAGTGGCAAGTTGGAAAGGATGAACTAGAAGTTTATGGCTTGGTTGGTGTGTGTGATCAGACACACACTGTTAAGTGGGCAGAGGAACACAAGAGGAAGAAAAGACTTGTAGGAAGATAAGCTGGGCCACTCACCACTGCCTCTGCAAGGCTGTAAAAGGAGAAGAGAGGCCTCTACACTGATAGTGACATCCAGGGAAGCACCTCAGGGGCTGAAAGCAGTGTCTGGCTGTGACACAAAGGCCTAAGCACTACCCAGCAGCCTGAGGGGCAGCAACCTGAGGAGGTGGCTCAGTGGTGAATGCTCTTCTGGAGGACCAGGGTTTGATTCCCAGCACCTACACAGTGGCTCACACCATCTATTAACTCCAGGAGCAGAGGATCTAAATGGGTACTAGGCACACATGGTACATACATACATGCTGGCAAAACCTGCAAAAATGTAAATAACACAGATTTATAAAATAATGGAAGAAAGCATAGACACACATTAGCTGGGCTGAAAATGCCCGTGTCCTGTCAGAGTGGCTACACTGCTCACTGTAGTTCCCTGCTCCAAGATTTGGAGGCCACCAGCAGAAACCCTTCATCCCCTCAGATGTAATAAACTACTGTGGTTTCTGACTTTTCTGCCTCTGGACTTTGGAAAACGCTGTTCTTTTTCCTTGGCACTTGTTCCTCTTCCTCAACATTGAGGTCACATGTTTGAGTTCCTCTCTGACCCCATCCTCAGAAAATCAACAGGGTTTTAAGGGCTCCAAGGGTCTAAGGCTTACTAAACAAAACAAAGAAAAAGCAGAGTTCCAAGACTTTGACCAGATTGGGAGCTCTGCTTTTGTCAAGTCTGGGAGGAAGGCTAGGAGGTGGCCACGGATGACCATATGGGGTGTAGATCTGTGGAATGGGAGTCAAGGAGATGTGGAGAGTAACCCAGGAGCAGAGGGCAGAGAGGACCGGGCCAGAAGGTCCTCGAGCAGGGTGGTGCCAGAAGAGGCTATGAGGTCACACCATGAGCTTGAGTGCCCAAGCTACCAAGGCTCACCGAATTTACCTGAAAACTTCACTTTGCCAAGGATGTGGTAGATATTTCCAGAGAAGGGACTTGGCTTGATGGAAGACTGAATGGCTGGTGGAGGAAAAGGATAGGATTCAGTTATCTGATGCAGAGGCCAAGCTTAGGCCAACATAACTGGAAAGGTCAGGGCCAGGGGAAGGGCTCAAGGTTCAGAGCTGCCATTTCCATCTCCATCTCCTCCAGCCCGGGGCCTTTGCCACTGTTCCCTCAGAGTGATCAAAGTGTGGCCACACATAATCAGACCCGGGAACTCTGAGCTCATCAAACCCCCTACCTGCTTTTGATTCTGACACTATGGAGAAAACATGAAGGACACTGACTGAAACATGTCCTAACAACGGCTTACCTTTACACTTGGTCACAAAGCGAGTTCTTTCCAGAGGACGGTCAAACCATACGCAGATCTGAACCATTAGTGGAAAGACAGATCCAGAATCAAATTTGCCTTCATACCTTAAAATAATTTTTATAATGTAAGAACAAACAGTTTTAATTCATTGACAGATTCATGTATATGAAGGGACCAGTTTATAATGTAAGAACAAACAGTTTTAATTCATTGACAGATTCATGTATAAGATGTCACCAGGCCCCTCACTCAGCCCCCTGCTTTAGCAGCCATGACAGGCTACAGAAAAGACATGGAGGCCTCTGACACAAGGAAACTCCAGATCCTCTGGCCTCCTAGAGTCTAGGGCCAAAACTGAACACAAAGAAACTCCAGCCCCCCAGCCCCCAAGCCTCCTAGATACTTGGTTCCTGGGAACGGTTTGGCCACAAAAGAAACTCCAGGGGAGACCAAAACCTCCCCTGTAGTTTCCAGGATATAGTTCTAAAACTATTGGTATCTATGAACAACAGGCCACCTGCAAGTAACAAGAAAGCCATGGAAACCACAGAATGTTCCCTCTCAGCACTGACCAATGAGAATACCTGGTATACAGGTATTTCATGCCAAAATACGACTTTGAGAAATTTTCCTAATTGTTCCTAAATGTCAACCAGTCAGAAACCAAGCCATACCTACTGATGCAATCCTGTAACTTTTGTCTTTAAGAAACTAGCAATAGACAGGGAACTTCACTCCCTCTGGAGGCTGCTGCATGGACTTGCCAGACAGGGTCCCTTTCATGGTTGGATGAACCAATAAAACCTTGCTTTTACAGTTCAATTGGCCTGTCTCCCTGGTGGTCTCTGAGGATCTTTGAAACTTGGGCACAACAGTATAAAGACAGTAAATTGTAGTTCTCTTTGCTCCCATCTCATCCATTCAGTGTTTGGGGGTTTCAGTATTACATATACTATTTTGGGATGAATAATTTGTCATTTGTTCAATCCTCTCTCACACTTATTTGTTTAAAATATATTTTCTTCCTATATGACCTAGGGTCTTATCTATACCAGGTTGACATCAAATTTGCTATGTAGCCAAGGATGACCTTAAATTTCTAATCCTCTGGGCGTCCACCTCCTTAATGCAGGGATTAAAAGTATGGGGCACCACACCTAGTTTATATGGGGCTAGGGATTGAACTGCAAGCTTTGCTTGGTTTTGGTTTTTGCTTTTTTTTTTTTTTTTTTTGGAGACAGAGTTTCTCTGTGTAGCCCTAGCTGTCCTGGGGCACGCTTTGTAGATCAGGCTGGCCTCCAACTCAAAGATCCTCCTGCCTCTGCTTCCCGAGTACTGGAATTAAAGGCATGCACCACCACTGCCTGGCTGAAGCACTGTTTCCAATGTGTATACCTCTGCTTCACTGTGAGACTGGAAAGCATGTTGGCTCCTTGGAGCAAGACCTCCCTGAGAACACAGGTCTAACTTCTCTAGACTAGCAGTAGTTCCCTAAAGTCAAGCGCCTGTGTATTCCCTCAGACCCTGAGGATACTAGGAGTCCTTCCTAACACAGTAGGAATCTCTGTGAGTTCAAGGGCAGACTGGTCTCCAGAGTGAGTTCCAGGACAGCCAGGACTGTTACATAGAAAAACCCTGTCTTGAAAAAACATAAAAAAAAAAAAAACCTCAAAAAACATTTTGTTTTGTTTTTATAGCATAATGCAATCAGTTTTGAAATTCCTATAAAAAATCAGTGGTAGAGGGGGTTGTGTGGAGGATGAGTAGAGCACCTGGAAGAAGTAAGGATAGTAAAGATAATCGAGAAAAATGAGAGATTAATTCTGGCCAACCCTGGAAATTGTCTTCTACTAAACTTTTCTTCTAAACCCACAGAAAGGAAATATCCATTGTATACAAGGACGAATGCTGCCAGGACTCAAGCAAAAAGGTTCTGGGGTGAGAGAAACTGCTCACTGCATAAAGTGCTTGATACACAAGGACGTATGAGCCCATGTTAAATCACCAGCACTCACGTAAACCAGATGTGTTGGCATGTGCCTGTAACCCCAGGGCTGAAGAGGAGACGGGTGGATTCTAAGGGCTTGCTAGTCAGTCGGTGTAGCCAAACAGTGAGTTCCAGGTTTAGAGAGACATTGTCTCAAAACACAAAGAGGGGCAGAGGAAGACACCTGAAGCTGACTGTTGGTCTCCACAAGCTCACACACAGTCAAGTACATGTACACACACAGGCAGGCACATGCAGGCACGCAAGCACAGAAAGAAATAAAGAGAAAGGAAAGAAAAGGAAGGAAGGAAAGGGGAAAGGAAGGGGAGGAAGAAGAAGAAAAAAAGGAAGGAAGAAAAGGAAGGAAAGATGGAAGGAAGGAAGGAAGGAAGGAAGGAAGGAAGGAAGGAAGGAAGAAATAAAAAACAGGCTTAGAGCTAGATATGGTGACTCAGGCCTTAATTCTGGCACTCAGGAGGCTGAAACAAGGAGACCATCATGAGTTCAAGGCCAGCCTAGGTACACAGTACATAGTGAGATCCTGTCTCAAAACAAAACAAAACAAAACACCTGGCATAGTGGGCCAAGCCTAATACCAACACTTGGGAGACGAAGGCAGCAGGAGAGCAGGGACAGGCAGCTGGGGATATGGGGCTGTGTCTTAAAAGTGGGCTCCAGACTCAGACAATCTGGGCTTGGAATGCAGCTCTTTCAGTTACTAGCTGTTTCTTGGACATGTCATTAGACTTCTTGCTGCTTTGTCATCTATAAATTATGAACACTAGTAGCATTTATTATGTGTTATGCTGATATGGAATAAAGAAGCCAGGCCAGGCAAAACTCTGAAGTAGTACTGCACCACAGAGCTTCCTGCCATAGGCAGCCACAGTTAACTCTCAATTTTGTTTGTGTTTTATTAGTGTACATTTACATTACACTAGCTAGTTGAGAGCAGTCTTAGAACAATGCCTAGCTCCAGGGATAGCTGATGATGGTTAAGATTATGGTGGACTTGGCATCTCACCTTTCTCCTCTTTTTGGAGAGGTTCTTGGGTTAGGAGGCAGCTGCAGAAGCCTACCTCCTCTAGATGGCCGACTACCTCCTCTAAATGGCTGACTACTAGGCAGGATGATTTTTGTTTTTTTAAAGATTTTATTTATTATGTATACAACATTCTGCTTCCATGTATATCTGCACACCAGAAGAGGGCACCAGATCTCATAATGGATGGTTGTGAGCCTCCATGTGGTTGCTGGGATTGAACTCAGGACCTCTGGAAGAGCAGTTGGTGCTCTTTAACCTCTGAGCCATCTCTCCAGCCCCTAGACAGGGTGGTTTTTCACCTGGGGAATCTAAGCCTTGGTGCCATGCCACCAAGACCCACTGTACTTGGCGCCTACAGGATGACCCCTGAATTGCAATGTCTAGAGAGACTCAGAATGTGGAGCCCTGGCCCCTTGGCAAGGCTACAGGGCATGACAGGTTATCCCAGTTAACAAGTGTGACCCTTGTGAAGCGTGCATGCTATTATCATTTCTGCTCTTTCTTTGCTGTAGATATGGCTCGTATTTCTTTTTAAAACTACTATTCAGTAATGATACTTGCCAGCCAGGAAACATTAAGTATCGAGAGTGTAGCATCTGGGGATTTGAAAAACTGTTTTCTGAGAGAATCAGCTCAATGTCTTCATTCCTTTAAAAACACAGAGAAGCAGAGAAGACCAGGGTTAATTCAGACTGTCAATGTTAACCTCTCCACACATGTATGCATTTGTTTCCTGACAAACAATATGACAATTAGTTGTAGGCATAACAGCTGACTTCTAAATACTTCAATATGCATCTTCAAAGAATAGTTTCTCATAGCAGAGGCAGTCAGATTTCCATGAGTCTGAGGACAGCCTGGTCTACAGAGTGAGTTTCTGATCATCTAGGGCTACATAGAAACCCTGTCACACAACAAACAAAACAAAAACTGCCAAAAAAAAAAAAAAACCCACAACAAAAAGAATACTTTTTCTTTTTTCTTTTTTGTTTTTGTTTTTGGAGACAGTTTCTCTGTGTAGCTTTGGAGACTATCCTGGCACTCACTCTGGAGACCAGGCTGGCCTCGAACTCACAGAGATCCGCCTGTCTCTGCCTCCCGAGTGCTGGAATTAAAGGCGTGCGCCACCAACACCCGGCAAGAATACTTTTTCTTATAGGACCACAATATACTATTACATCTGAGGAACTTAGTACTATGATCAGCAATTCTACAAATGTAGAATTTCAGGTCCTACCCATGACTCAGAAACTTTTTTTTTTTTTTTTTGACAGAAGGTCTCATGTAGCCCAGGCTATCCTTGAACTCACAAAATAGCTGAGGATGACCTGATCCTCCTATCTCTACTTCCTCAAGAGCTGAGACTACAGACATGTACTACCAAGCCTGGTTTATCTGGCGATGGCCATCAGTACCCAGGTGATGCTGTCTTTACTAACTCATAGCAGAGAGGCGCACAATATCAGAACGTCATGTTACTGTTTTGGCTATTTAATCATTTGGTCAACACAGTGCCTGCCAGATCTTAAGAATGTAAAGTGGGGGCTGGAGAGTTGGTTCCAGCACCTATTATTCTTGCAGAAGACCTGAGTTTCATTCTAGGCTTCCATGGTGGCTTACAATCATCCATAGTTTTTGTTCCAGGGGATTTAATGCCCTCCTCAGACCTTCCCAGGCACTAGTACCCAGTACACACAGTCATGTCTCAGCCCTCCACATTATGTCTGTGTGTGTAGCTAGGGACTAGATATACGGTGTTGCACCTACTAGCAAACATGCACCACTACACCCAGCCTTTTATATGGGTGCTGAGGACCAACCTGGGTCCCTCACGCTTGTATGGCAAATACTTTACTGACTGAAATATTTCTCTGGATAAGAAAACAATTATTTTTTTTACTTTTTTTTTTTTTTTTTTTTTGGTGAATGTACACCTGAAGTTGACCTCTGGCTTCCATACACATGCCCACAGAGAAGAATCTCCCCAATGCTGCTTAAAGTATGTGTACATGTGTGGCCATGGTTATGTGTGGAAGTCAGAGGACAGCTGTAGGAGTCAGTTCTCTCATTTACAATGTGTATTTCAGGGATCAAACTCAAGACTGCCCAGCTAGGTAGCAAGTGCTCTTGCCTGCTGAGCCAACCTGCCTGCCCCTCAGCTGGTTTTTGTTTTTAAGACAAGGTTCTCGGTTGTAGCCCAGACTGGTTTGAATTTGAACTCATCTTGGCTTCCCAAATGCTGGGGACTCATGAGTGTACATCATGCCCAGCATTTTTTTTTTTTCTGAGACAGGGTTTCTCTGTAACTTTGGAGCCTGTCCAAAAACTCTCTCTGTAGACCAGGCTGGCCTGGAACTCACAGAGATCCGCCTGTCTCTGCCTCCCCAGTGCTGGGATTAAAGGAGTATGCCACCATTGTCCAGCCCTCCAGAATTTTTTTAAATGCAAAAATTTATATGGTTTGAAAAACTGAAATGATTGTATTATATTCCTTTGAGTATGCCAGCAGAGCAAATCATAGTTATATAATGAGCACTTTTTCTCTCTTGCAAATTCTCTATTCTTAGTTTGCAGTGTGGACCAAGACCTTGAAGTAAAGAGAGCTTTTTTTTCTTTTTTCTTTTTAAATTTTGAGACAGGGTTTCTCTGTGTAACAGTCCTGGCTGTCCTGGAACTCGAATTTGTAGACCAGGATCTGCCTGCCTCTGCCTCCCAAGTACTGGGGTTAAAGGTGTGCACCACCAACGCCCAGGAGTCATTTTTCTGTATTCTCTATGCCATCTCTCTCACATCTTAGCACATGGACCACTGGAGACAGTCCTGGCTTCTATTCTTCAATGTTTGAGAAAGAATCTGTCAAAACAAAGTAACAAAATATCTCAAAACATTATAGGAAGGTGATAGATGGGGTTCTCTTGATTATCTTTATATAATAGAGTTAATTTACTTTAGTTAAGAAGGGAGTGGTGGGGATTGACTTTAATCCCAGAGTCTCATAAGCAGAGGCAGGAGGGTCTCTCTTGAGTTCTAAGTAAGCCAGGGCTGCAAAGAGGGACCCCATGTCAAACAAACAAAAACAGGGCTAGAGAGATGGATTAGCAGTTAAGAGCACTGGCTGGTCTTACAAAGGACCCTGGTTTAATTCCCAGCACCCAACAGGTAGGTCACAATCACCAATAACTGTAGTTTCTGGGACTCTGACACCCTCTTCTGGCCCCCTGTGGGCACCAGGCATGCATGTGGTGTACAGGTCACACACACACACACACACACAGGCAAAACACCTACATACATGGCAGTTCATTATTAGTACTGTTAGTATTTGTGTGTGTGTGTGTGTGTGTGTGTGTGTATGTGTACACATCAGAGCATGTATGTGGAGCTAAGAGGACACCTGCAGTAGTCAGTTCTTCTCTTCTACCATGTGTGTCTGAGATATAGTGAAAGACCCTGTGATCCACCCAGGTGCTATATCTGGAAAAGAAGTTGGGCACAAGAGTAAAGTCTGCACAAGTTTACCTTGTAACAATCCCATTTTCTGCAAGAATGAAGGCTGCAGTAGGATTGGTAGCCCTGATGAGGGTCTGCAGCTGAACAAGGAGAGGGTGCCTCTGTTCCACCGTGTGACTGGTAAACACCACATTATTCACCAGGCCTGAAGAATAAAACCAAAACATATCAGCCTTCAGAATCTTGACTGGGCTGCAGGATCACACAAATGTAGGCCTCTGCTCCTTCCACTGACTGTCTTTTTCCTCTTCCAGGAACTGCCACATCTTAAGAGTATTTGTGTTTTTTGGCATTTGTTTTGTTTTTGAGACAGGGTTTCACGCTGTAGCTCTGGCTGCTCTGGAACTTACTATGTAGACCAGAACAGACTTTAACTTGTGACCTCCCTGCCTCTGCCTCCTGAATGCTAGGATTATAGATATGTGCCACATGGCTGGCCTTTTGCTTTTTGAGACATGGTTTTACTAAGATGCAGCCTAAGCTTGCTGAAAACCATTGTGTAGTCCAGTGTGGTCATGAATTCACAATAATCCTGACTCAGAACCCTACATATTGGGATTATAAGTTTGGGCCACCAAGCCTGACTGCTATTCTCTTTTTCACCCTCTCATATTTATTACGTGCACATGCACTGTAAAAACTGGCATGAGTTGGCACTCTCCATCCTCCATGTGGGGACAGAAAATGAATTCAGCTCATCTAGGCCTGGTAGAAGCACCTTAACCACTAAGCCATGTCATAGTTCCCCAAACTAATTTAGCTTCTCTTAATTCAATTTTCTGGCTGTTACTTGTAGTTCTTGATCAGAGAGATTTTCAGAATCCCTTACATTCAACCTTATCAGAAACTGGTGCCATCTGCCTTCAGCAGCTCAAACCACAGACATTTATTCACCACCAAGCAGTCACTACACATTAAGTGCTGAACAACTATATCTTCAGAGTCATATAATCCCAAGATCAGTGTTGACACAGATATTCATACAGTGACATGGTAAAAAGGGGGAGCCAATGTAAGAATCTGTACAATGGGTAACAATGACACCATTCCACAACTTTTATAAAAATGTAAATTAACAAAACTATGGAGAATTTAGTAAGCAGCAAAGTTATTCCCACTCTGGCATAATCATACTTCTTTCAAATTTGTACTTATTTTCGCAGTTAAAAATATAGTTTATAAGATTTCTATTGATATAGGCTATTTCTGCTATAAAATTATTTGCCTTTTGGGAGTAGGACACCCTAGAAATCACGATGTAACTAAGGTTGACCTTCAAGCTCTGATCCTCCTGCCTCTATCTCTGGAGCTCTGGATTACAGGCTTGTACTGGTTTATGGGATGTTAGAGATCAAACTCAGCACTATCAACTGGAGCATATCTAGAACCTCTTTAATTGCATTTTTAGTGAAATTTTATTATTATTATTATTATTATTATTATTATTATTATTATTATTATTATATTTTGGTTTTTTGAGACAGGTTTTTCTGTGTAGTCTTGGCTGTCCTGGAACACTCTATGCAGATCAAGCTGGCCTTAAATTTATAAGAGATCTGTCTATTCAATAATTTTATTTATATCGTATTGTGAAATGATAGAGAGATGTCTCAGTGGCTAAGGTCACTTGCTGTTCTTGAATAGGACCCAAGTTGGGTTCCCAGCACGCATATGATGGTTCACAGCCATCAGCAGGCATGCACATGGTACACAAACATACACACATGCAGGCAAAGCACTCACAGAATAAAATACAATGAAACCATTCAAATATGTACCAAACTAGAAAATAGTAGCCCCATCCTCTGCTTTTAAGAGTTATCAAGGGGATGGAGAGATGGCTCAGAGGTTAAGAGCAGTGGCTGCTCTTCCAAAGATCCTGAGTTCAATTCCCAGGAACCACATGGTGGCTCACAACCATCTATATATAATGAGATCTGGTGCCATATTCTGTCAGGCAGGCACACATGCAGGCAGAACACTGGGTACATAATAAAGAAGTAAATCTTAAAAAAAAAAAAAATTATTGGCAGGTGGATCTCAGAAAGCTCGAGGCAGCTTGATCTACAAAGCAAGTTCCAGGACAGCCAGGACTGTTATACAGAGAAACCCTGTCTTGAAAAACCAATCATCATCATCATCATCACTAGCTGGGTGTGGTGGTGCAAACGTTTAATCCCAGCACTCAGAAGGCAGAGGCAGTTGGATTTCTGAGTTCTAGGCCAGCCTGATCTACAGAGTAAGTTCTAGGTTAGCCAGGGCTAGAGAAACCCTGTCTCAGACAAAAACAAAATTATCAGATTTAGCTAATTGTATTTTGTCTATACCTGACCCTTGCCCATCTCTTGCTCCTCTCTCCACTGTGGGGAGCTGAAGAAATCCTGAGTGAATGTGTGTCAGTGACTTGAACATGGCCATGCTGAGGAACCCAATGCCTCAGACCCAAGAGAATGACAGGCCTTCTGTGGGTCAGGTTCAGGGGAATGGCAAAGTCTTCCTCTGGCCCAAGTATGGCTGTTACAAAAGATTAATCATTAATTAAAAAGTTGACTGTAGCCTCAAATTGCTTCTGTAGGGTGCTCCTACCAACGTTAACTAGCCCACCTCCTCCTTCAGCTGTGTACAATAAAAGATCTGAGTATCTTGGTTGCTAGTGAATGTCTGTCAGAACTCATGGCCACCAGATCCCAGCTTTTCTGTATGTTTATCTGTTCTTTCCTCTTTCTCTCCTTACCCAAGTCAGGTTTCTAAGATCCAGGTGGCCAGGTCCTGGTACCTACTGCATGATTTTTTTGAAGCCAATCTCATAAATCTAAATATTTCATCTAAAAGTATTTCACTGTGTATCTCTGAAAAGGACTCTTTAAAAAATGGCTAACAAGGGGGTTGGAGAGATGGCTCAGAGGTTAAGAGCACTGACTGCTCTTCCAGAGGTCCTGAGTTCAATTCCCAGCAACCACATGGTGGCTCACAACCATCCATTATATGATCTGGTGCCCTCTTCTGGTGTACAGATGTACATGGAAGCAGAATGTTGTATACATAATAAGTAAAGTCTTTTTTAAAAAATGGCTAACAAAGGGGCTGGAGAGATGGTTCAGTGGTTAAGAGCACTGGCTGCTCTTCCAGAGGACCTGGACCTGGGTTCAGTCCCCAGCAACCCACATAGCACTTAAAGATTGTCTGTAACTCCTGTTCCAGGTAAACACAGACAAACATGGAGGCAATAACAATGCACATGAAATAAAAATAAATAAAGTATTTACAAAAAGTGGCTAACAAAATTGGGCAGTGGTGGTGCATGCCTTTAATCCCAGCACTCGGGAGGCAGATCTCTGTGAGTTCCAGGCTAGTCTGGTCTACAGAGTGAGTTCCAGGACAAGCTCCAAAGCTACACAGAGAAACCCTGTCTCCCAAAACAAAATAAGCAAATAAATAAATAAATAAACATAAAATATCCAATCTATGTGTAAAATTTCTGCTTCAAGAATATTGTGCTTTTTATATTTTAAAAAGACATATTTATTTCACTTGCATGTATGTATATGTACTATGTGCATAACTGGTGCCTGCAGAGGTCGGAAAAGGGTGAAGGATCCCTTGTAACTGGAGTTACAGATGATGGTGAGCCACCATGTGGGTGCTGGAAATCTAACCCAAGTCCTCTCAAGAACAGTCACCTCCCCCTCCCCAAGATGGGGTTTTTCTCTCACACACCACACACACACACATTTAAAAATGTATTTTAATGTGCATTGGTGTTTTTAACTGCATGTATGTCTGTGTGAGGGTGTCAAATCTTGGAGTTACAGACAGTTGTGAACTGCCACATGGGTGGGTGCTGGGAAATGAACCTGGGTCCTCTGGAAGAGCAGTCGTACTGTTAACCAGAGTCATCTCTCCAGCCACCGCCATTTTATATTTTGAAAGGTTTTCGTTTATGTGTATGCCCCTGCATGAATTTATGTGCACCAGGTGTATGCAGGAGCCCAAAAAAGCCAGATGTTAGGTCCCTGGAACTGGAGTTAGAGGAGGTTGGGCGCCACCATGGAGGCTCTGGCAACTGAAGCTGGTACCTCTACAAGAGCAATGAGTGCTAGTAACTACTGAGCCAGCTCTCTGGCCTCTCTTTTAATTTTTAAATTAATGTGCGCGTGCCTGTGTGCATGCGTGCATGTGTGTGTGTGTTTCATGTGTGCAGTGCTCACGGAAGCCAGAAGGTGTTGTATCCGGGCAGTTACAGATGGTTGTGAGCCCCACCAAATGGATGCTGGGAACCAAACTTGGTTCCTATGGAGAGTAGCAAGTGCTCTTACCACTGAACTATCTCTACAGCGTATTTCTTTTATTTTAAAAGGCTCACACTCCAAAGACTACTCATATGCCCTTTCCATCCAAAACCTTTCATGTTAAGATAGACTTTCCTCTGCCAGTGACAGAGACGCCTCCGAATGAGGGGGCACTGGTGGTGCCTGTGTATCGACACTATATTTAGAAGGTCACTATGGAGGCTGCAGAGTAACATCATGGCCTGGCCTAGAAAACCTGATGCCAGATCTACATCCACACCTTGGTGCAGTCACAGGAAGCCATGGGAGCCTTTGGAAACAGAATAAGTGGAGGTCAGAAGGCCATACCCAAAATGTGGCACCAAATACAAGCAGATGGAATCCCTGAAGTCTCAGGACATTCTAGGATTGACAGACAAGGGAGCCAGACCCTGTAAGGTAACTGTGAGGTTACCATGGGCAGAAGAAAAGAACAGTATGATGGGCCTTGTAGTGAGGAGGCAGGAAAAGCCAGCAGATCTGCAGACGCCTGGAGACTATGACATTTCCTCAGCCAAAAGAGGCAAACCACACTAGTATAGACCTGCCCTTCCCAGTCATGTGTGCCAGGGTCACAGGCACAGTCCTGGCCTGCCCCTTTTCTTGCCCAGGTTGTGGGGCTCTATTAGATGAACCCTGTCTAATGTTCTGCTTGCTATAGTGTACTGTATAGACTAATTTTGTAGGGATGGGATGCTAGGTCAGGAACTGGGTACAGAAAAAGGACTTTACTCCATAGCAAAAGGATTATCTCCAGCATTCCTTAGTCCAGCTATGTAAACTGCCACTTGCCAAGAGGAAATGCCATCTGAGAGGCAGGGAGAGCCCTAGTCTGGCACGCAGGCCAAACAAGCCACAGTGAGGAGTTCCACCTTATTAGGGCCAGAAGTTTCTTTCTGCTCTGTTTCAAAAGTGAACACCAAGACTGACCAAGGTTACAAGCTAGGCTATAGGCAGGCAGTCTAGCTTGGCCTGTTCGCAAGAACAGAGAAACACCTTTGCTGTCTGTTACCCTAGACTGGGCTAAAGGCTTTCAGCAGCCCAGAAACTACCTTCTTTTCTCTATGCACACTTCTAAAACCAAGCAGGCAAAACACCTTCATTTGCTTTGAGTCAGCATTATGATGAGTCTCTGCTGGCATTAAATGCTGCAGAACAGTAAGCACAGAAACTGCTCCCTGTCACTCAGGTTTCCGTACGTAAGACATGTCACCTCGGGCTACAACACAGTCCTTTCTCACTGTAAAATGGTCCCTGGTTGTTGGGGCTGGGGGAGAACCAGGGAGCCTGAGCCATGAACAAAGGGGCAATAAGTTCCTTCAGGACATGAAGAACTTGTCTCCTGGTTACAGATCCCCCCTTCCAAGACAGCCTCCGAATCTCTCACGAGAAGGGAGACACTTGTTTCATTTTTGTTTTTTGATCTCCCGCCTATACAAGGCAAGCCAAGTCAGCCAGTTCAGAGTCCTGATGGCCCAGATACAAATGGAAGATAATTTACCAGGGTACTACAATTCCTGAGTTCCTTGACACTCAGTGGGGCAGAATATGGGGTATGTGGCAGTGCACGTCTTTAATCCAGCACTAGAGAGGCAGAGGCAGATGGATCTTTGTGAGGCTAGCCTGGTCTATACACAAAGCTCCAGGACAGCCACAGCCTGTCTCAGCCTGGAAGGATGAACACTAAAAAAGGTTTTCTCATTGAGAGATAGCTGCCCAGGGCTGCTCCAGGTTCATGGGTGATGAAGACAGATCATTTCCTCAAGACTCTCTGTCAGGGGAACCTAACTGTCTGTACTTATGTGTCACAAAGAAAAGTGGAAGATGCTGAGGAGAGAGGCTCCAACACTGACAGGAAGAAGGAAGGGTCAAGGACGGTCAACACGCTTTTTGTAGGTTGATTTGTTCCACTTTTGTTAGTTTGTTTTTCAAGACAGGGTTTCTCTGTGTAACAGCTCTGGCTGTCCTGGAACTCAATCTGTAGATCAGGCTGGCCTTGAACTCAGAGATCCACCTGCTTCTGCCTCCTAAGTGCTGGGATTAGTGGCGGGCACCACCATCAGCTTGGCTGTTTTGTTTTTTGAGATGTAATCTTACTCCACAGCCAAGCCTGGAACCTGTGATAATTCTCCTGCTTCAGCCTCCTGAATGCTTGGATTATAAGCATGAGCCACCGGACCCAGTTTGTTCAGCAAGTACTACCAGCCAACCAAACACTTTCTCCATTTTCTTGGAAGTTATCACTGTCTGAGTCAGCCTTTATTTCTCAACTGTTAGCTCTAGGAATCTCTCAGACTTCCTCTATCAAGACTAGTGGCCTTCTCAGTCCTCAGGCTTATTTTTCAGCAAACCACAGGGTGTTGCCTGGCAGCATGTCTTTAATCCCAGCACTCAGGAGGCAGAAGCACTGGATGGATCTCCATGAGTGCCAGCACAGCCTGGTCTATAAAGCAAGTTCTAGGACAGCCAAGGCTACACAGAGAGACCCTGTCTTAAAAAACTGAGAAAGAAAAAGAGAAAAGGGAGAAAGGGATGAAGGAAGAAAGGAAGGAAAAGGAAGGACGACAGGGCCTCACCCAGGTGTAGTGGCACACTCCTTTAATGACAGCACTTGGTAGGCAGAGGTAGGAGGGTCTCTGTGAGTTCCAGGCCAGCCAGGGCTACAGAGATATCCTGTGTCAATCACACACACACTCTCACACTCACACAGGAAGACAGTCTCACTATACAACCCAGTCTATACAACCCACTATACAACCTACTACTCAGTCTGCCACTGCTACCCTCTGAAAAAAAATTGCAGTTCTGTTTCTTTCAGACAGGGTCTTTATAGCCCAGGATTGGCCTGGAACTTACTATGTCTGACTTCTACACAGAGATCCACCTGCTGTACTAACTCAGTCTCTTCAGACATTCCTGTTGAGGACACTAGTGCCCTTCACACTTGCAAAACTAATATTTTTGTTTGTTTTGTATTTAAATTGTCCTTCCCTTGAGGTCTCTGCAACATTAAGCATGGCTGATTTTTCTGTTCTTGACATCTGAAGCTCTGCTTCTCCTGCTTCATCTTCTGTCTCTGGGATTTTCTAATCCCTTCACATCTCTGGCCTTCTAACTTCTACAACTTCACATCTGGATATTGGCTTTTGTTTTTGCTCCTGGCTTTGAAGCCTAGAACCAAGGACCAGAAAGCCTCCCGCCTCCCATATTATCTCCTGTTCCAGTGTCTCTCTTGTGCTTTCTATTCAAGGACAGCTATCTTCAGCTTTCCTAATCCCCTGAAGTAGAAAGCAGAGCCATTCTGAATAGATCTTTTCCAATTTATGCCCTACGATTACTTTGTCAGCAGGTCCTACTAACCCAACCTAATCCAATCCATATGGATTCGGCATTATGGAGGGACCCAAACAACCTTCATTCCATTTTTCTGCCACTGAAGGCAAGCATGACAGCTTATACTAATCCAGCACTTGGGAGGTAGAAGCAGGAGGGTCAGGAGTTCAAGACTAGCCTGTGCTACATAGCAACTTAGTGACTTGAAGCCAGGTGGGAATTCATGAGATTCTGTCTCAAAAGAGCAAAGGGGGACTGCTACCACCTGGTATACCAAGTTCAACAACAACATTCCTCCTTGGCCTCATGCTTGGCATGCCAGCTCAGCTGCCTGCCAAGACAGCTCTGGTGTGTTGTTTTCTGTTGTCCCTGTGGACTGGCAAAGGGATCAGCAGGGCACAAGTATGCTGGGGACAGGGAGCTGTTTTCTTCTACCAGATGCTCACTGTGCTGATTCAGGAAGCTCACCTCCTAAGCATATCCCCGGTCAGCCCCCTCACTCCCCCAGGAAGCTCCCCCCCCCCCAAGCATATCCCCAGGCAGCCGCCCCTCCCCCATGCATATCCCCTGATAGCGCTAAGTATCTCAGCATCACTGCAGGCAATTTATAATTTATTCTGGCTCTCCAGGACTCCTGATGACCTTGTTGATCCAGAGGTTCCATTTACAGTTCATCAGCAGCAAGGCTAGGGCAGGTGTGCTGCTGCTGGGGGAGCTAGTGCATCAAAAGAAAAGTTTCTGAGCATGTGTGTCTACCCAGCAGACACAAGGAAGTCGTCAAAGTTTTCCCTGGACCAATTTTGTACGTTGTAGATTGAGAAAAACCAACTGTATCTGAACAGAGTGAGATGGGCATATAAACAGGAAGTAAAACACACTGCTTACCTTGTGAACACTGGTCAAGACATTTGGGAAAGAGAAATCTAAAGAGAAAAAAAAAAAACGTATTTCAAAACCATTTATTTCAGTCATCATTATTTCCCACAAAAGTATGAATCTGATCATGCAAGTGCCAGATGGAAATGAGCACTGAGAGAGCAATAGTTATCCAAGACATTCATAGCTTTGCACTGAAGTTAATGTCCCATAGAAATTCCTACATAGCAGTTGGGCACTCAGAAGGCAGAGGGAGGTGAATCTCTATTGAGTTCCAGGCTAACCTGGTGTACAGAGTAAGTTCCAGGACAGCCAGAGCTACAACGAGGAACTCTGTCTTGAAACACCAATAAACAAACAAACAAACAAAAACTAAACAGACAAATAAAAAACAACCTCAGCCCAAGCCGGTCTTTTAGAAAAATACACTGCTGGGACTGGAGAGGTGGCTCAGAGGTTAAGAACATAGACTGTTTGTCCAGAGGACCCAGGTTGGATTCCTAGCACCTAGGTGGCAGCTCACAGGCAGATATAATTCTAGTTCCATGATTTCCCACATCCTCTTCTAGCCTCCATGGACACTGTGTACATGTGGTATGCATACTTAAATGTAGGTAAAACACACATACACATAAAAATAAATCTTTCTAAAAATAAAAGATGCTTTTTTGAGTGAAGGAAAATGTTATCAGTTATAGCCATCAAACTCTACTAGGGGCCTTCAGTGTCAAAGCTTCCATGGTTTTGTTTTATTTGTAAAGTTATTTAGTTTTTTAGATTTATTTATTTATTTATTTATTTATTTATTTATCATGTATACAGTGCATACTAGAAGAGGGCACCAGATCACATTAGAGATGGTTGTCAGCCACCATGTGGCTGCTGGGAATTGAACTCAGAACCTCTGGAAGAACAGTCAGTGCTCTTAACCCCTGAGCCATCTCTCCAGCCCTATTTATTCTTTTGTTTCTATGTTAGTGTGAGTATGCCTGTACATGTGCTCAGCCACCATCTTGTTAGCACCATCATGCTTTTCTTTTCCTTCTTTCCTCCTTCTCCTTCATCTTTCTTTTTATTGTTGTTGTTGAGGGTCTTTTTATGTAGTCCTGTTTGTCCTGGAGCTCAATATGTAGACTCCGATGGCCTTGAACTCACAGAAATCCTCCTGCCTCTGCTTCCAGAGTCCTGGGACTAAAGGCATGCACCACCATGTCTGGCCTTGCCATGCTTTTCTGCTTTTCTTTATGTGCAAGCTATGATCTCAGTTCCTCTTTGATCTCCACTCCCACAAAGTGTTGGGGAAAACGGGTGGTAATGGCGAACACCTTTAGTCCCAGCACTTGGGAGGCAGAGGCAGGTGGATCTCTGAGTCTGAGGCCAGCATGGTTTACAGATTGAGTTCCAGGGCAGCCAGAGCTATACAGAGAAACCCTATTTTGAAAAAAAATAAAATAAAATAAAGAAGATGATTAAAATAAGAAAAAAAAGTTAAAATCCCAACTATTACAATGCTCCTCCTAGGAAGGGAGCTGACACTACTGAGTTAAATCAAGTTCCCATAAGGATGAGCAACATACGAGCACTTAGACAGGACTTTGATGTAATCTATTAGGAAAGGAGAAGACTAGGTTGGTAAGCAGGCTGAGTATATTGCCCAAGGCATTCCATGCAGTGGGTCTGAGGCAAGGTCTAGGTCTGTCTGGGTCCACAGAGCTCCATGGTTCCCAGAAAGAAGTCAGATGCTTAGGAGCAAACTTCATTCTCTTAACTGATTTCATAAAACAGCTGGACACATACCATTTGAGCCAAATTTGGCGAATCCTATTTTAGGCTGCGAGTCCAGTTCTCTTCTTGACTTTCTCATACTTTCTTAAGATTCCTAGGAGGAACCCTCGTGTGCTACCAGCAAGGCCAAAAGACTAGGAACAAAACTGAATCACCTGCTGCACAGCAATACCTTCCTGGAAGTGTCTGTGTCTCTAAGTGCTTGTGACTTTGGATGCAATCACTTAGGCCCTTCTTGGGCCCTGCCTCCTTTCTCACTGAAGCCCATGGCAATCCTCAAAGATTTCCCATAAGGCATCACATCCTATCCAAGGCTAGACACGAAACCTCTGACATGGGAAGGGGCCAATAATGCTGATGTAAAAGCTAGAGGAGACAAGTATTTAGAACATGGACTTGTATGTTGCCTTAGTTACCTTTCTACTGCTGTGATAAACCAAGGCAACTCAAAAAAATTGTTTAATTGGCATATGGCCTCAGAGGGCTAGAGTCCATGATGGAGGAGCAAAGGTATGGTGGCAGGAACAGCTGAGAGCTTGATCCAAAAGTACATATTGGTCCAAAACCAGGAGGCAGAGCACTGTCAATCCTCCAGTCTTTTGAAACCTCAAAGTCAGTGACACTCCTCCTCCAACAAGGCCACATCTAATCCATTTCAAATAGTTCCATCAACTGGGGACCAGGCATTCTAAGATATGAGGCTGTGGCAGGTCATTCTAATTCAAACCACCACGTGTGTTATGTATGACTTCCTAAAAATGGAATGAAATTTCTCATAATTCCAATTAATATGGTGGCCTGCTTTCTTTCTTCCCTTTCTTCTTTCTCTTTCTTTCTCCCTCCCTTCCTTCCTTCTTTCCTTCTTTTTGTTTTTGTGAGACATGGTTCCTCTGTGTAGCTTTGGCTGTCCTGGAACTCGCTCTGTAGACCAGGCTGTCCTTGAACTCACAGAAACCCACCTGCCTCTGCCTCCCAAGTGCTGGGATTAAAGGCTTGCATCACCACCACCACTGGTGCTTTCTTCTTAATCTAACCAAAAGCTACTGATGTTCCTTTTTTTGCTGTTTGAGACAGGGTTTCTTGTAGCCTAGGCTGGCTTCTGTCTTTAAACATTAACTCAGTTTAGCTTTACTTCTGTATTTAAATAATTAGCCTTATCTCCAGTTGTATCTTATTAAACTATGTCTGTGGTACACCTGTTGGCACACTCCTTTAAAGTTTGCTTATTTGTTTGTTTGGAGCCAAGGTCTTTCACTCTGTTCTAGTCCAGGTTGGCCATGAGCATTTACTTAGTCATTAAGTATTCCTTTCTTCTAACTAGTGATCCTCCTTGCTGAGGTAAACAAGCCTGGAGCAGCGCATAGATGAACAGAAACGGGTTAATTTAAATTTTAAGAGCTGTCTGGAGACAAGCCTAAGCTACTGGCCAACATGTGTAATTAATATTAAGTCTCTGTGTTTGTTATTTGGGGAGTAGCTGGGACAGAAAAGTCTGCTCACACTTCCTATCTCTGCTTCCTGAATTCTGGGATTACAGGTATTTGGCCATCATATTTAGCTTTTATCAGATTTATTTACTTCCTCCTTCCCTCCCTTTCTCTTCCTTCGTTCTGTCCCCCTCTATCCTTTTTTTCAGTGTTTGGGATTGAACCAGGGTCCATTACATACACTTGGAAAGTCCCCAACCCCGAACTGCACCCCTCCCCCCACGCCCACAACGGATCTTTGATGAGCGCTTACTCTGCACCAAGCATTGAAAAGACTTGGCTCCTGTTCTCACAGAGCTGAACGAAGCCCGTCTTCCTTAATCTACTTCGTCCTGCTGTGCACCTTTTAGGACCTCATACAAATCAAAGAGTAACGGGGTGTTTACCAAATACACCACGGAATGATGTCTTCTACAAGCCAAGGGTGTAAAGGATTGCCTCACTCTGCCGGGGAGGGAAAATCACTACAGTTCACTTCAACACCGCATCCTGGGCTGGACCAGGTGGTCTTAAGTCTCTACCTGTGCTCCATGTTGCAGCTCAGGGGCTCCACACACACGGTGACGGCACCAATGGTGAAGTAGGCGCTAAGCGGCTGAGTGGGAGAGCTCTGAAGACCCAAGGCTGAAGCAGTTATGGAGTTCCTCGGTGATACCTCACTTTGTGATTCAGAGACCCTAGAATCCACCATGTGCTTCTTCGCTCCCAAGTTCTTCCGGTTCCCCTAGAGGGGAAGAGTGGGTGGAAGAGCCAACCTAGTCTGGAGATAAGGAGCAAGTGACTGGGACTCTGAGGGTGTTTTCTGGTCAAGACTCAGGAGCTCCTGCCAGGCTGTGTTTCTTTAGTTCTTTTCCCGCCCCCAATTCACAAGGTCATCGGATCTGTCAAACACCATTTTCTAGTCCCATCTTCTGCCTGGACCTCCCTCCAGTCTTGATTTACAGAACCAGCCTTACATCATCACTTAGGAGCGAATGTGTTTGTAATCCAAACCCCCAAGCCGGTTCCTCCCAAGTTCCTGTTATTCTAAGCTCAGGGGACTTTACTCTTTCAGACGCTAGGCCAAAAGATCCGCGTCTGCTTTGACTCCATTTTTTCTTAGTCTTCAGCATAGACCCAGAAGAGATCTCTGTTCACACTCCCACTTTACCTAGGCCACCCCAGTGGCCTGTCAGCTGCCCCCTACTGTTGTCCTGTCTCACAGCAAACTGTTCTCAGCACAGAAGCCAGAGGGATCCCTAAGCCTTCTGACAGATCACATTACTGCTCTGCTGAAAACCCTCTAGTGGTTTTGTCTCAGTGCAAAAGCCAACCCCCTTCCTGTGGGCCAGGCAGCCCCGTACATCTGACCTCTCACAGAGCAGGGGCAATGTCATCACTTATCCCATCCCTTCTTCTAATCCAACCACTTTGGCCTCCTAGGTCTTCTCTGAACATGCCTGGCATACTTCTACCTTGTACTCTGTTCCCTCAGGCTGGAATGCTCTTTTCCCCTGGCATCTGCCTGGCTGGCTTCCTTCCAGTCTCTGCTCAAGTGGCACCTGGTTGGTTTTTGCGGTGCTGGGAATTGAACTCAGAGTGTTGCACATGCAAGTTGAGTGCTCCACCACTGAGCCACGTCAAGTGGCACCCTATGGAGGCACCTTGAACCTTCACACACTGCAATACTGGCAATGTCCCTTGGGACCCCTTGTATCCCTCCACCAGTTTTCCTGCAAAGCGCTGACTGTCAGCTCCAGTCTCTCCTTGCTGCTTTGTTTTCTGCCTGTGCATCTTTGGTCCCATCTCATTTATTTGCTCACTGTATGCAGTACAGTGGCTCTTCAACGTTGCAGTCTCTGAAGGTTACAGCAATACAGATCAACAAATTGGACATTCAACTCCAGCAGACCTTGGAATGACTGATTCTAAGGGGCCTCTTCACCTTACAGAGGACAGCACCGTCCCAAGGGACCCAGACTATTATCAAAAAGTCTAAGTCTGAGCTGGGCGTTGGTGGCTCATGCCTTTAATCCCAGCACTCGGGAGGCAGAGGCAGGCGGATCTCTGTGAGTTCGAGGCCAGCCTGGTCTCTAGAGTGAGTGCCAGGACAGCCTCCAAAGCTACACAGAGAAACCCTGTCTCAAACCACAGACCCCCACCAAAAAAAAAAGAAGAAGTCAGGGATATACTGATGAAAATAGAAGCTGGTTTTGAGAAATATGCCAAGTGTTATGGTAAATATCTGCAATCCTAGTACTCTATAGGCTGAAGCAGGAGAATCACAAGTTTGAGGCCAGCCTGGAACTACACAGTAAGATATAGTAAGTATCTTATCTATATAGTAAGATGAAAGAGGGAGGAAATTCTTGATATGAGGAGCCCTTTGGCATCTTCCTTTATCAACAACCTTAATAATGTTTAGTGCCAAGGAGTTAAGGAGTTGTACAAGCTAGAAAGCAGGTAACTATATATTACCTGTTGGCTCTAAAAAATGGGTCAAGTCTGTAAGTGTCTTAGTAAAGAGCCACAGCATTTAGCTGCTATTAGCTTTTTGGTTGTTGTTTTTTGAGACAGCCTTTCATATATTCCAGGTTGGCCCATCATGTCTGGGCTTAGCTGTCCTTCTGACTAGAGTCTATCAGGGTATCTACTGGTTTCCCTCATACCTTGTGGTATGACTGGGTGAATGTTGGGTCTATGCTTCATGAGCTGGTTCTTACAGAAGACCAGAAGCAGCTACATATCCAACATTTTTACAGACTTGTAGAGTCAGAGTCAACAGTATTCTCTGAAATAATGGATAATGGAAATTACCTTAGCTGTATATACTGACAAGCATGCAAGTTCTTTTCCAGGTCTCCACTCCCAGAGACCCTCATCTGGCAAGGGCAGAACAGAGGTAGTCTTGCTGGGTTGGCCCATCCCTCTGACTAGTAGAAGCAACAGAAACTCTGAAGAAAACAAGTGGTTTCAAGGCCCGATTCTCCCTTTGACGATTCCATGGCCAAAGGGCTGATAGGAAGGAAAACTACAGAGGGGTCAGACTACAACAAGGTTTCTCCGTCAGGAAGGCCCCAAGGGTGCACACTGCACCTGCCTCCCTTCCAGGACCACCATCCTAGCTCCTTCAGGTCCAATCATTACAACCAGGAGCCTAAACAGAGCTTTGGATCTGGACCTCTTCTTAAGTGGAAACAACTAGCCTGCTGGAAACATTAATTATTGTGAGAATAGCACAGAGCTTCTTTACAACCAAACACCAGAAACCAGCCCTGCCCCTGTTCTATTCTCCTGAAAACACATTCCTTTCTGGGCCCAGGTGATAAAGGATTTTCATGACATTCCTCCATAGAAGGCTGATGAACAGAAGTTCTCCGGAGCAGGAGCACACACTGCCAAATCTTCCTTCTGAGCTGGGGAGATGGCTTAGTGGGTAAAACATTTGATCTGCAAGCATAAGGATGTGAGTCTGAATCCTCAGCACCCAGGTAAAAACAAGAGCAGGACATGGCTGTGTCCACCTGTACCCCTGTGTTCTAAGAGACAGAGACGGGAGAGCTGCCAGCCTAGCTCCAGTTTAGTGAAAGATGCGGACTCAAAGGAGTAAGACAGAGATCCAGCAAGGACACTCTCATACATACACATCTACAACACACACACACACACACACACACACACACACACACACACACACACACCCGGGTGAGGGTAGGGAATCCATCTTCCCTCTGACAATAACAGTACTTAGAGAGACTTTAGGATTAAGGAGCCCACAATCACAGCTTGGCATCAGGCAAAAAGCAGACTCCAACTCAGCTGTACTATGAGCATTTCTCACTGTGGGTCCCAGGAAAGTCTTCTGAGATAGCCACTGGAGAATTGAGGGGGAGGGAGGCTTATAAACTACACAGGGGCCACATCTGCAATTCCAAAAGAGGAAGGAATAAGATAGATGAGGCCCTCATACCTAAATGGCAAGATTTAAAGATTATTATCTTTAATGAACTATTGGAGAATCTTTACCAGATTCCCCAGTTCCTCACTTCTTGAGATATTATAATATGGAAGCCAAAATCAAAACATGTGTAGCTACCAGTTACCCTTGGCCACAGTATGGCAACAGCACCCTGGCCTTTCTGAGGAGTGTTGCTGGCATGGGGCACATATAAAGTAACAATGATGACAAGGCCCTCATCCTGACTTCCATTCCCAGGTCTCCAACACTCACCCTTGTAATACCACCAGCAGTCTGGTCTTCTTGCGGATGTAAGCTGACTGGCGGGCAGAGCGGTTCTGCTGGGCCTCCAGGGCACTGGAAAGGTATTTTTGGAAGTGGGCAGCATGGAAACATTCAGAGCTGTCCATGATTTGTCGGTATACCATCCATCTGGAAGCAGCAAAGGTAATCTTAGCATAAGGCTACACATGGTCTTAGATTTATATGACCAGTACCCTCCTGCTGCCAATGACTAGGAAGAGAAAGCTAGCGTGGCATCACAGAAAAAGACAGCAGGAACTAGCTGGGTTAGAAGCCCACTATCTTGAAACCAAGGTCCTTTTATCTTTTGTAGGTAATCGCCTTCCACTGGGAAAAAAGACAGTGAGAATGACTTCTGACCTGGCAGTGATTTCCATGAGTAAAATGGCTTTAGTTTCATGCTTGGTAAAACTTGTAGGAAATGGGCAAGGTCAAGAATTCAGAATGTTTTAGAACAAGAGCCAGGAATGGTGGCACATGCCAGTAATGAAATGCCAGCATTCAAGAAGCTGAAGCAGAGAACTTCCAATGAATTTGAGGCCACCATCTCAGAGAGACTGAGGCATGGGTGGAGAAGGAGCAGGAGAGGGAAAGGGATTAAGAAAGAAGAGGGAGGAGAAAGAGGGAGAAGGGAATGGGAAGGGAGGGAGGGAGGGAGGGAGGGAGGGAGGGGAGGGAGAAATAAGCACACACAAGTTGGGTGTGGTGGTTCATGTCTATAACCTAGCACTTGGAAGGTGGAAGCAGAAGGATCTAGAACCCAAGGTCATCTTTAGTTATAGCTACAGCAAACTCAAGGCAAGCCTGAACTACATGAGACTCTATGCCCCAAATGTTTATAGGACAAAATCACTAGAGGTGAGGATCTGGTTAACCTGTAAACACTAAACAAGGCTCTAAGCACACTGTATCAAATGAGGAGATGGTAGATGGCTGCTGGGCCAATAATGTCATGCTAAATGCCAGTAGATGTCTAAGGTTCCCCTATACCAGGGCAGGTCCAGCAACACCATCTCTTTCCCCAACGCAAAAGCAGAAGCCATACTAACCTGCCATACTCCTTATGAAGAGTGACCAGGAAAGCACAGAGCTTGTTAGCGTGGCACCCAGGGAGACCAGCTATAATGCTGATGATGACCTACATGAAAGAAATGTCACATGGGTTTCTAGTTCAGTAGGGAACACTGTGCAAAAGGTAAAGAAAGCTGGTCTTTAGAACAAGGCTTTGTGGGTTTGAAGTTCAGTACCACTCACTATTCACTAGCTCCTTGATTTAGAGGGAATGACAAAGTCTACTATTGTCCTGGGTATGTCATGTTTTCTTTTTAGTTTCTTTTCTTTTTTGTTAACCTGACAGGAGCTAGAGTTAAATAGGAAGAGGTAACTCCACTGAAAAAGATGCCTCCATTAGACTGGCCATAGGCAAGACTGTGGGATGTTTTCTTGATTGTAAATTGATAGAAGGCCCAGCTACTTGGAGTGGTTCATCCCTGGACAGGTAGTCCTGGGTTACATAAGAAAGCAGGCTGAGTAAGTCTGAGGAACAAGCCAGTGAGCAGCACCCCATGGCCTCTGCTTCAGTTCCTGCCTCCACTTTCCTGCCCTGATGTCCCTCAGTGACTGAGTCTGACCTGAGAGTTGAAAGCCGAAACAAATGCTTTCCTCCCCAAGTTGTTTTATCACAGCACTAGAAAGTAAGCTAAGACGCCTACTTACTCACAGGGTAGGCGCGAAGATTCATGAAGTTCACTGATGTAAATAGTAAACAACTTTCTATGGAAATATTAACTGTATCACTTAAAAGATTTAAGCATTTAGAGAGTCTAACTTGCTTAAGACCACAGACCTCTAGTAAAGGAGACACTCAGGGATATTACATTTGTTACATTCTTCAGGGAGCAGAAAGGAAGTCTGGGAAAATAATGTCACAGCTACACTGGTGTGGAAATTGGTGAGCAGAGGAGCTATGCTGAAGATGTTTCTGTGGGATTGCCTGTGTCTTCCAAGTCACGCTGTCTGTGGTGAGGCAGAACTCCCAGACAAGATAAGCTCTCTTAAAAGCTCTCATGGAGGAATAGAGGAACCATCCCAATGGCCCTAGCTGCGTTATACCAGCATACAAAACTAGGTTTCCCTCAGGTCAGTCTAAGGCCATTTAAGGAATTTACTGAATGAGGAAGAGTAGCAGAGGAGGACAAGAATCATACAATCACAGGAGAAGGTTTATTAAAATGACAAGACCTATTTACAGGATGTCTTTTTCTTTCGAGAAAAAGTTTTATTCTGTAGCCTAAGCTGGGCTAGAACTCTGTGCTATCCAGGATGGTTTCAAAGCTGCAGTGAGCCTCCTGTCTTGGTCTCCTGAATACCAGGACACAGGCCATCATACCTGTTTAGATGTTTTATTTCACAACATGTGAGATCTATCAAGACAGGCCCAGTCACAGATAACACACTAACGCTGAGCCTGCTGACATCCAACAGCAACTGGTTGCATAAATGCAGAGACAGCTGTTGATCTCTTTTCTTTTGTGGGAACTCAAGTTTTCCTTCCACCCTGTGACTAAGACTTCTATACTCTGCCCCTTTTTGCTCCTTGCAGAGTACAAATGTAACTCACACTGTGTCTTCCTCCTACCCCAGTTTTCCCTATCTTGCTCCCTACTCCTCGGTGCCCACTTCTCAGTCCCTTAAACCACATGTACAAAGTCAAATACTTTTTTAAAAAAGCAAAGTTGTAGTTTATAAAGAAAAACTTCAGCAGATTTAAGCACAAGTGGAAGGAGAAAGAGAAATGTCTACAGCACACACCCAAGATCATGGGTGTGTGATTATTTATTTACTTTTATTTTATGTGTATGGGTGTTTTGACTGCCTGGATGTCTGCACACCATGTATGTACAGTGCCCTTGGAAGCAAGAACCCCCTGGAACTGGAGTTACAAGTCATTGTGAAAGGTGGTGCTGGGAATCAAACCCAGCTGCTCTGGCAAGAGCAGCTAGTACTCCCAACTGCTGAGCTGTGTCTCCAGCCCCAGGTGTGGGCTTCTAAGAGCCACTCAGCCAAGTACTCTTACTTAAAGGCCAATAAGTACTATAGCACCTTTTAAGTAAAATATCACAAGATAGATATTTGCTTTCTTTACCCTCTTATCTAAAGGAAAAATGGAATGTTCTAATTGCATAGTGCTATCTCATTTAGTAGATGAGCATGTTTTAGACTTATACAGAAACAAATTATGACATACAGCTTCCAAAGGACTGGTGAGCAGAGTCAAGTATAGGGACATATGAGGCAGGGGCACATTAAGGTCTGTTCTGGCAAAGAAAATGCTCAGAGTGCCATCTGGTGATTACAACACAGGCAGCCTTCCTTTTATTAACAGCAGTGTGTCATCCACTGCTAGGTTAAGTCATTGTCACTAGCAGAAACAAGGGTCAGCCTGGGAACACACAGTAAGAGTATTAAAGACCTGGAGAAGCAGGGAGGGCACGGCAAGATGCCAGGGTTGGTCACTGTCACTGGGTCTGTCCTACATATTATTAGTAGTATTCAAGGAGGTGGACACTTATAGAAGACTCCATCTGTGCTGCTGTCAACTGACACAGACTATCCTGCTGTAAAGTCTCAGCATGTTTGGTGATGACTACCTTGTCACTTTCTAATCCGTGAGCAGGGCTGATTTCAGCTTGCTGCAGCAGGCCTGGAAGATGGGTCCTCATCACAGGCTCCTGACCAACGCTGCCCACAGCAAAGTGGTGGAGGAACCTAGAAAAACAAAGACAACTGTTATAGCACTGTCATCAGCCTTGTTTGACATGTCAGCTAACATTAGTGATCTCTCACCTAGGTGCTAATAAGCCTTAAAGAGATTCTTTCAAGCTGGGTGTTGGTGGCACACATCTTTAATCCCAACACTTAGGAGGCAGAGGCAGGCTGATCTCTGTGAGTTTGAGGCCAGCCTGGTCTACGAAGCAAGTTCCAAGACAGGCTCCAAAACAATACAGAGAAACACTGTCTTGGGGGGGAGAGAGAGAGAGAGAGTGAGAGAGAGAGAGAGACAGAGAGAGAGAGACAGAGAGACAGAGAGACAGAGAGAGACAGAGACACAGAGAGAGACAGAGACACAGAGAGAGACAGAGACACAGAGAGAGACAGAGAGACAGAGAGAGACAGAGACACAGAGAGAGACAGAGACACAGAGAGAGACAAAGAGAGATTCTTTCTAGGTCACTTTAATCCAAACTCTCAGGAGGCAGAGATCTCTGAGTTTGAGGTCAGCCTAGACTACAGACTGAATTCCAGGACAGCCAGGGCTACACAGTGAAACCCTGTTTCAAAAACAAAACAAAAAAAGGTGTGTGTGTGGGAAGTGTGTGTGTGTGGCTCTTCCAGAGGACTAGGCTTCAATTCCCAGCACCCACATGGTAGCTCACAACTGTCTGTAACACTAAAATCTGACACCTTCACACAGCCACACATGCAGGCAAAATGCCAATGTACATAAAATAAAAATAAATTTAAAAAATTAAATTACAGCATTCAGGGGGTAGAGGCAGGCAGATCTCTGTGAGTTCAAGGCCAGCCTGGTCTACAAAGTAAGTTCCAAGGCAGTCAGGACTATTTCACAGAGAAACCCTGTCTTGAAAAACAAAAACAAAAAAATAAATTGAGAGAGAGAGAGAGAGAAAGAGAGAGAGAGAGAGAGAGTGTCTTTCATGATATGAAAGTTCTGTGAGAAGCTTTAAGTGAAAGAGTTCAGGAGGACCAGCACTGAAGTCTCCGACATTGAAAACAACTCCAGCCAGATGCACAGAACTCACCGTTCCAACTCAGGGAGTTTGGCCGAAAGCAGCTTGGGAGAGCTCCACTCCTCTGCAGGATAGCTCAAGGCACTGAAGAGCTTCTGTGCCCAGGAATGCCTACAATACCAAAGGCTCAGATGAGTCCTACACCTGCCACAGCAAAGACACTGTACACAAGTACAAGTAGTTCTGAGGTTCTAAGCCTAACACAGCCAGTACTTCCTAGCCAGTATCCCATGGACTTAAACCAAATGTGCATGACAACTGACATGCCCAGGAGGAAGGCTGGCCTCGTTTTTTTTTGTTTTTCTTTTTTTTTTTGACAGTGGTCTCAGGTTTTAATTCTTAGTTGTAGTGGTCTGAATGAGATGCACCCACCCCCCAAGTCATGGCCATTTGAATACTGGGGGCTGTTTGGGGAGAATAAGGAAGTGTGGTCTTGCTAGAGGAGGTATGTCTTTGCTCTCTCTGCCCCCTGTCTGTGGTTTGAGAAGTGTGACCTCTCTGCTGCTGTTCCAGCCATCTGCTGCTTCTACGCCACCATCATGGATCATTTTATTTTATTTTATTTTATTTTATTTTTGTAGACTAGGTTGGCCTAGAACTCAGAGATCCACCTGATCTGCCTCCCAAGTACTTGGAGTATAGGAATGTGCCACCATGCCTGGTTTATGCTTGGATGGGATCAAACCCATCTTGCATGCTAGGGAATTGCTCTTCTAACTGAGCCACATCCCTAGCTTGGATTTCATCTGTCTGGCTGTTTCTCCAAGGGCACAACTACCTGTATGCTAGCAACAATGACATGACTATTGGCCTTTTCAGAAGCAAAGACCCCATGTTACATAACGTGAGTCACCCTGCAGAGAAAGCACACCACAAAGCTTTGGGAATTGAGCACAAACACTGGGGAGAGCCACTTACAATCTCTTTTGTTCCACAGATAATCCATCTTCCTGGATCACTTTTAAAGAAAGCCCTGAGTTATCCTGCTGTTGCCAGGGGGAGAAGACCTAAACAAAACAAAATTTAAACAAAGAACACTTTAAACCTAACAACAGGATATGGAATCCACATGGGATCTGATGACTGTTGAAACCAGCACTGTCAGTACACAAAAAAACATTATCACAAGCAAGTTTGCTACAAAAATAAGGCCGGAAAGCAATTTTGTTTAGTGTTTTTCACAGTGAGAAATGCCTTTCTGGTTCCTGTCCTCAGAAACCATGACCTTCCAGAAGTCAGAAAGCCTGGAAGAAGGTGTCAGGAACACTGTTCTGGCTGCAAGAACATGTTCCTCCCTGGTGACACCAGAAGGCAGTGGTGACCTCAAAAGAAACTGCTTAGAGGGACAGCTGACGGAAAACAATTCCAAAGGCTGTCTATGTCCCCAAGAGGGGCAGACTGGAAGAGATGACCACAGCCAGGTGGTAAGCAAGATCAGCTGTGTGTAGAGAAGCCATTGCTGAGAACCCTTCACCCTACAGTCCTCACTCCTGTTCCTCTGTAGTCTGTGACACTGTCACAGTCCTCACTCCTGTTCCTCTATAGTCTGTGACACTGTCACCCCACAGTCCTCACTCCTGCTCCTCTGTAGTCTGTGACACTGTCACCCCACAGTCCTCACTCCTGCTCCTCTGTAGTCTGTGACACTGTCACCCCACAGTCCTCACTCCTGCTCCTCTGTAGTCTGTGACACTGTCACCCCACAGTCCTCACTCCTGCTCCTCTGTAGTCTGTGACACTGTCACCCCACAGTCCTCACTCCTGCTCCTCTGTAGTCTGTGACACTGTCACCCCACAGTCCTCACTCCTGCTCCTCTGTAGTCTGTGACACTGTCACCCCACAGTCCTCACTCCTGCTCCTCTGTAGTCTGTGACACTGTCACCCCACAGTCCTCACTCCTGCTCCTCTGTAGTCTGTGACACTGTCACCCCACAGTCCTCACTCCTGCTCCTCTGTAGTCTGTGACACTGTCACCCCACAGTCCTCACTCCTGCTCCTCTGTAGTCTGTGACACTGTCACCCCACAGTCCTCACTCCTGCTCCTCTGTAGTCTGTGACACTGTCACCCCACAGTCCTCACTCCTGTTCCTCTGTAGTCTGTGACACTGTCACCCCACAGTCCTCACTCCTGCTCCTCTGTTGTCTATAACTCATCGTGAAGAGATGACACTGCTCATAAAGTGCTGTAATCACATCACAGCCTTCCTAGAACGTCTACCTGTCGTGATGCTAGCCATTATTCTGCCTTTGGCTGCTGTGCCTCATAGAATTCATTCATCCCAAGAGGGCCCCACACTCACTGTGTAGCTGAGGCTAATCTCAGAACTCTTGATTCCCTGTCTCTACCTGGGAAGTGCTGGAATTACAAGCATGGGACAGGATACCTTGTGGGGGGGGTCACAGAATTCTTGTTACATCCCTTCCCTTATATGATATGTACTGAGATGTACAACAAGTTTACTACTATGCAGGGCCACTTGCAAAGGCAAGAGGGAACTGTAATCACAGGGAAGGACAGCATGGGGTGGGACAGAGAGCTATAGCTCAGAAGGGCGGTTTTGTTATTTAATAAAATAGCTAAAAAGGAAATACATTTAATTGGGACTTAAAAGGGGACAAACAGATTTCATTTCTGTAGGCTCTCACCTCTCAAACACCAAAGGGATTATCAAAACACCAGGTATGCTTTCATTCTTTTAGAGAGTGTCTTATATAGCCCAGGCTGGCCTTGAGGCTAACTTTGAACTCCCAATCTTCCTGCCCCCACCTCCTAGGTACTACAATTACAGGTTTGCACTACTACACCTGACTTCAAATCTCACTTGAATCACATCACTGTTACTTCTTTCTAATTAAAAAAAACATTAATTTTTATTTGTATAGGTCTTTTTCCTGTGGTTTGGTACCACACATGGGCACGCCTCAGAAGACACAAAAGGGCATTAGAAGCCCTGGAACTGTAGTAACAGATGGTTGTGAGCTGCCATGTAGGTGCTGGGACTCAGTCCTTTGCAAGAGCAGTGGTGCTCTTCACCACTGAGTTATCTCTTCAGGCTCACCAACCCCTTGTTTTAGAGAAAGGGTCTCACCGGGTGCTTTAGGTGGCCTGGAACCACTACAGAGACCAGGCTGGCCTCAAACTCACCAGAGATGCAACCGCCTCTGGCTCCCACGTGCTGGGATTAAAGGACTGAGCCACCACGCCAGCTTTTACATTACCATTAGTTTGTTCTAAGACACCATGCTACCATTTCAATTGCTAAGGGAAAAAAGTGGCTATTTTGCTAACTTGATAGATAACGTATGTTACCTCTGAGTAAAAGGCTTGATAGATCTTTGATTTGGGGAAAAGGGCAATCATCAGGAAATTGCTCGATCCATGGAACTGAACTGGGAGATGAGGAAGCAGTGAGCCTCTGAAGTTGATGAGAAGGGCAGCCACTATGCTGGTGGAGTCCTAGAAAGAGAAAGGGGCATCAGAAGAGAGTCCTCCAGCTCTTAGCTACAGGAGATAGTGGAACTTTTTTTTTTTTTTTTTTTTTTTTTTTGGGGTGTGTGTGTGTGTGTGTGTGTGGTCTCACCAAAAGCTAAGCTAGCCTTGAACTCACAATCCGACTGCCTCAGTTTCCCAAACAGCTGGGACCACATGTATTGTCACACTATCTTTGATACATATTTTCCCAAACTGAAAATGTCAGCTCAAAATTCCCCCTAAGGTATTGTCTTAGGGAGGATGGAGTGGGGGGGTTGAGTCATGGTCTCATGAAGTCCAGGTTGGACTCAGCTTACTATGTAGTACAGGACGACCCCGGATGTCTGATAGTCCTGTTTGTAGTTCCCTGGTTGGGATTAAGGCTTGTGTCATCTCCCAGGTAAGCTATTCATTTATCATACATAGGATTTCTGCCATTTGGTGGATTGTTTTTCATTCTTTTGAGAGTCTCCTTTGATTACAGAAACTGTTAAAATTTATCTTTATTTTTTGGAAAGGGTTTTGCTATATAACCTAGACTGGCCTGGAACTCATGGTGAGTGAGCCTCATTGCTTTAGCCTCTCAAATATTGGGATTGCAGGCATATGGCATCATACTCAGCTAGTGTAATTTTTAAAAATTATCTGAGCCAGAGAGATGGCTCAGCTGGTAAAAGTGCTTGCTGTGAGCTTGACAACCTTAATTCAATCCCTGGAGTGCCACATGGAGGAGGGAAAGAATCAAGTCCCACACGTTCTCCGACTTCTACACTTACCCCACATTAAACTCCACCCCCAGAAAATAAGTAAACATGTAATTAAAATGATCATGTGTATGTGTGTGCGTGCATGGGTGCATGTGCATCACAGTGCACACATGGAGAGTAGAAGGCAGCTTTGGGGAGCTGGTTCTCTCCTTCTACCACGAGGTCTGGTGATGGAACTCTGTCATCAGGCTTGCACTGCAAGGGCTTTTGTTTATTGAGTCATAACCTACCTTGCCATAGAAAACTTAATGGTTTGTAAGATTTATGTATTTACCTTATATGTGTGTTTTGTTTGCATGTATGTTGACTGTATACCCCATGTGTGTGTGGTATCTAAGGAAGTCAGAAGGGAGCGTTACACCCCCTAGAAGTAGAGTGATGGATGGTTGAAAGCAACCATGTGGGTGCTGGGAATTAAATCCAGTTCCTCTGCAAGAACCATCTCTTAACCACTAAGCCATCTCTCCACCCTCTGGAAAGTTTATTTTGTGTAGTTATTCTTTTGGGGAACTAAGAAGTTGGCAGCAAATCTTATGTCATGAAGCTTCTCCCCTGCTGTGTCTCTAAAAGCTTGATTATTTTAGCTTTCTTATTTAGGTTTTTGATACATCTTGAGTAATCATTTTTGTACTTGGTATAAGGGTCCAACTTCATTTTCTGGTGTGGATATACAGTTTCTCTAATATCATTTGCTGAAAAGACTATGCTTAAGGCTGAAGATGGCTCAGTGGTTACGAGCACTTCCAGAGGACCTGGGTTCCATTCCCAGTACCTACAGGTTCACATCATTTGCAACTCTAGTTCCGGTGGATCCAAACCTTCTTCTGGCTTCTGTGAACATCAGGCATACACATGGTACACAGACATACATGTACATAAAACACACATACACATAAAATAAACAAACACACAAATAAACAGTTTTTTTTTTTTTTTTTAAAAAAAGACTGTACTTTCCTCAATCGACAACTGTGAGTTCCACGCCCGTCAGGGCCACATAGAGAGACCCTGCATCAAAAAATGAAAGGAAGAAAGAGAATAGAAGAAAAAGAAGAGAGGACCTGAGTTTGGAGTCTTGGAACCTACACAAGTAAATGCCTTGGAAGGTCTCAACTTTGGAGGAAGCTTCTAGCAAGGTAACCTGTATCAATGAGCTCTGGCTCTAAGATACCCCATCTCAAAAGATAGAGGAGGGACCAAGGGACCAGCCTTTAATCCCAGCATGCAGGAGGTGGGAGGCAAAGGCAGAGGTAGAGGCAGAGGCAGAGAAACAGAGGTAGACTGATCTCTGTGAGTTTGTCAACATAGAGAGTTCCAGGACAGCTAGGGCTGTACGATGAAAGCCTATCTAAAAATAAGAGAGAGGTGGAAAGAACAACTGAACAAGATACTTGCTATCAACCTCAGGCTTCCACATGCATGTCCATCCATGCACATGTGCCAGAACACACGCAAACACACTTACATGCACATACCACACATACACACAAACACATGAAAAGAAGAAAAACAAGTTCTAAAGCAAATGTTTATTGAGCTTGATTGCTTAATGGTTGGTTTGTTTCTTTAAAAAATTCTTTAAATGGAGTGGGGTGTCATGTGGCACTCCTTTAATACCAGCACCCAGGTGGCAAAGGCAGGCTAACCTTTGTGAGTTAAAGGACAGCCTGGTCTACATAGAGTTGCAGCCCATCCTGAGCTAACAGTGAGACCTAGTCTCAAAAAACATGGAAACAAAACTCAATATAAAGTTAGAGTAACCTAACAGTGTGGTACAGTAAAATATAACAGTCTAGATTATGTCCAGGCTATGCTTGAACTCACAGAGCACTGCGATTAAAGGCCTATGCCACCACACCCAGTCTCTGGCTGGGCAAGTACTTCAATCACTGAATCATTTCCAGCCATTCTTCTTTTCTTTTTTTTAAAATTTAACCAGCCCTTCTTTAGAATTTAAGTTTATTTTTTTGAGACATGTTTTGAGAGCCAAAGTTAAATTTTAAGTTTTAATTACTATGCCTTAGAGATCCACGAAACAAAAATAACTCTGGGGGCTGGAGAGATGGCTCAGAGGTTAAGAGCACTGACTGCTCTTCCCGAGGTCCTGAGTTCAATTCCCAGCAACCACAAGGTGGCTCACAACCATCTGTAATGAGATCTGGTGCCCTCTTCTGGTGTGCAGATATACATGGAAGCAGAATGTTGTACACATAGGAAAAAAAAAAAAAAAAACTTAAAAAAATGACTCTGATCTGCAAGCCCCTTGCACAAGGACAAATAGTTCCTGAAATGCTGGAGGCTGTTGTTTATGGGAAATAAACACTTCCCTAACAAGCTTGTTTGACCCACCCGCACCTGATGTGCTTGATCACGTGAGGGTGGGAGGTTCCTATGCGGGATGTATGATTGCCCCTGATTGGATGGACCTGATGGGAAATACAATGACTTACGAGTTTTCCTTCTTAAGTCCTTGCCATAGGCCATTTCCCAGGATATGGACCTGGCCAAAGCCCATCCACCTCGCCAGTATTTAATTAAAGCTTGCTTCAAATTCGAATTTAAACTGTGGTAGTGGTCTTATTCTTGACCAGTGGGATTAACATTTTTGAGATCCCAGTGAGATTCAGACCACCAATCCAAATTCTAAAGTTGGATGTGATATGGCTATCTGCTTCAAGTTCTTACCACTCTACCTTCCCTACCACAGTGAACTGCAGCCTATAACTCCTTTCTTTCTAAATTGCTTTTTGTTGGAGTATTTTGTTACAACAACAGAAATGAAACTTGTACACAAACTTGTGGCAGTCTTCTTACCTCTGCTCATGAGTGTTGGGTCACAGGCATGCCCAAAAACATCTAAGGCTTAAATATTTCCTAAGCTTAGAAAGTCTTTCTGCCTCTAGAGATTAATGGACATTCATTTTTTACGTCTTTTCTGCTTATGAAATTTTAAAATATTTAATTTGGGGCTGGAGAGATGGCTCAGGGAGTAAAAGCACCTGCCACACAGCTTGATAACCTGAATTTGATGTCCAGAACTCATGGTGGAAGGACTGACTCCTGACGACTGCCCTCAGACCTCCTCCACGAGTACACTGTGGGATATGAGTGGCTCTTCCTACCAGTAATAGATAAAGTTAAAACTTTTTTAACTCTATTAGACATTTGTTTGAATTAAAAAGAGATTTATTATATTTTATTACATGTATGTGTGCATGTCTGCATGTGAGTGTAGGTACCAGGAGAGGCCAGAGAATGGGTGGAATCCTTCTGGGGTCTGAGTTAAAGGTAGTTGTGAGTGGCTCAACATGGGTACTTGGTTCTACAGAAGAGCAGCAAGTACTTTTATTCACTTAGCCATTTCTTTAGGCCCTACTTTGAATATTTTTTATTGGCTAAGAATCTACCCCCACAGTTGAGAGTGGTAGTGCACATCTTTAATCCCAGCACAAGGAGGCAGAGGCAGGATGTCTGTGAGTTTGAGGCCAGCCTAGTCTACATAATGAGTTCCAGGACAGCCAAGGCTATGTAAAGCCCTGTCTCAAACATAATAAAAACAAAAACCAACTAAACAAAAACCACTCCTCCAACATTAGCCAACCTTGCTCTCATAACACTGTTTCTTCATTTTTGTTTTTTAAGATGTATTTGACTTTATGAATGTATTGCCTGCATATATGTATGTGCGTCACATGTGTGCCTGGTACTCATGGAGGTCAGAAAACAACATCAGATTCCCTGGAACTGGAGTTATAGATGGTTATGGGATAATATGTGGGTGCTGGGAACTGAACCTGTGTTATCTGTAAGAATAACAAGTGCTCTTAACTACTGAGCCATCTTTCCAAACCCATTTTTTTCTCTCCCCTCCCACTTTTTTTTGTTTGTTTTCTGAGACAGGGTTTCTCTGTGTAGCTTTGGAGCCTGTTCTGGAACTCACTCTGTAGACCAGGCTGGCCTCAATCCTCCTGCCTCTGTCTTCTGAGTGCTGGGATAAAAGGCACGCGCCACCATTTCCCGGCCCATTTCTTTTTTCTTCCTCTGGAAGAGCTGTGAATACTCTTAACTGCTGAGCCATCTCGCCAGCCTCTCCAGCACTATTTCTATTTTTAACTTTCTATTTTATTTATTCTTATGCCTTTCACATCATGCGTCTCCATCCCATTCATTTTCCTGTCCCTTTGTATCTGCCCTCTGCCCTTGTAACCTCCCCCACAAAACAAACCTTGAGAAAATAAAAAAGAAAGATCTCATCATGTCAGATGTAGTGTGTGTGACACAGTGAGTCATGCAGTAAACCCTCATATATCTTTATTTGTAAGTGTTCACTGTAAAGAGTCTGGTTCGAGGCCTCTGGTTTCTGCTATACTATAGATGCTGGGCCCTGATCGAACTCTTCTTGGTTATCCTGCTGTTGCCCTGTGCCATGGAGGTCCTGCAGCTTTGGGTCTGCAGGACTGGTCCCTTCACATGCACCAGCAGATCGCAGACACGGATGTTGTTGTGGACCAACTCGTAACCCTGGTTAGTTGCAGGGTTGGTCAGGCCACTAGCTCTCCCTTGTCCTCTCCACCAGGGTGAGCTCTCCTGCATTGCTCTGGCTAGTTCACCCTTGAACCGAAAGCAAGGGGCTTTTACATCCTCAGGGTCAGTTCTCCCACACCTATACCTGCAGGGCCGGCTCTACTGTGCTGCACAGGTGAGGTGCAGGGCCTGCTCTTCTGAGCTGGTGGGGGACAGGGGCAGCTCTCCAGCTCTTAGGATGAGTAATAGGAACAGCTCTCCCATGCTCACAACTTTGGGGCTGGCTTACCCACAACTCTGCCAATGGGATTACCAAGCATTGTTTCTTAAATAACTTGTATAAACTTTCTTTCTTGATCTTAGATAACTATTTTTGTTGTTGTTTTGAGACAGAGTTTCTGAGTAGCCTTGGATGTCCTGAAGTTTACTCTGTACACAAGGCTGGCTTCAAATTTAAGAGATCCACCTGCCTCTGTCTCCCAAGTGCTGTGATTAAAGGTGTGTGCTACCACTCACTGCCTGGCTGATGTTCAAAGACTTTTTATAAAAGTTGATATTGCTGGACATTGGTGGCACATGCCTTTAATCCCAGCACTAAGGAGGCAGAGTCAGGTGGATGTCTGTGAGTTTGAGGCCAGCCTGGTCTACAGAGTGAATACCAGGACAGGCTCCAAAGCAATACAGAGAAACCCTGTCTGGGGGGGGGGGGGGGGGAAGAAAGTTAATATCAAAACTCTTGGGATGGAGAGATGGCTCAGAGATTTCAGAGTGTTTGCTGCTTTCTCAGAGAACCTGAGTTCAGTTCCTAGCACCCCATTTTGGGTAGGTTATAACCACCTGTAATTCCAACTCCAAGGGATCCAAAGCCCTCTCTCGGCTTTCATAGGCAACTGCACTCATGTGCACATACCCACATATAGTCACGTAATTCTCAAAAATTAAAAAAACTAAAAAATCCTCTTTTATCTAATAAGGCCATCTAATCTGCCTAGCTGATACACCCAAATTTCTGAACAGTTTTTAGTGTTTTGTTGAAGACAGATTTGATCATGAATTCATCTGTTGAGCCACTTAGCCAAATCATTTCAATCCACCTCTGTTCTAGTTGCCACTAAGTGGAAAGCCTGTTCTCCACTGTTGCATTGAGGGAGACTGTCTATGCTCTGCTCTGGCCACGGAGCATAAAATGAGGGACACTCTGGCCCACCACCTTCTCCTGAAGGGTAGAAGCCTGATAAATGATGGCTCTTTAGGGGAGCATATACATGGAGATAGAGGTTAAACTTAAGTGTGTGAGAGGGAGGTGTTAAACTCTCATGAAGGCAGTAAGAAATTTTTACCTCTTTTGTGCACATACAGTTCTTCTCTGTGGTTAAGAGATATGTTAGAGCACCATCAATGCCACAGAATGAACCTTCCAGTTTTGAAGTGTGAGCCTTGGGCTTGTGTGAAGAGCCATTGGAGGTTTTTTTCAGCTATTTCACACTGTCTTTAGGATGACTGACTTGGGTAAGGGGCTAGTTCTGAGCTAGGCCTTACTAGCAAAGCATAGAAGTTTTCTGAGAGTATGCAGTCCTCTCCTCGTGTTGTGTCGTGTTTGTTTTGTGGTTTTTTTTTTTTTTTTTTTTTTTTGTGTGTGTGTGTGTGTGTGTCTGTCTGTCTGTCTGTCTGTCTGTCTGTCTGTCTGTCTGTCTGTCTGTCTGTCTGTCCTGGTGTGCTTGTGCGTGTGTGTGTGTGTGTGTGTCTGTCTGTCTGTCTGTCTGTCTGTCTGTCTGTCTGTCCTGGTGTGTGTGTGTGTGTGTGTGTGTGTGTGTGTCTGTCTGTCTGTCTGTCTGTCTGTCTGTCTGTCTGTCCTGGTCTGCTTCAATGTCTACTGTGGTTTCTGACATCCTGCCACATGATATTGGAGAAGGGAAAATGGAATGAATGCATTTTAGAGGGGGTTGAAAAGCCAGGGGTTGAACAACCACGTACCCCATCGTAGAAGGACACAGAATTCATGTGATCCTTGGAAATGACGATACTTCCATGATGACGGTGAGAAAACAGAAGGCCACCAGAGAAGAAATGCACATTCCCTGGAAGAAAAAGAATACTGGTCAGACTGGGGGGCTAGATTCCTGGGCCAGATTCCAGAGTCTGTCTTGAAGGTACTAGAGTGACAATGTAACCTTCCTGAAAGGAGAAGAGATAATTTAAAGAGAGACACTTATGCCTCAATTATTGAAACAATGGATCCCAATGAATTAAAATTTCCCAAGGATCTCATGCTGTCAAAAGGGAAAGCCTGCAGTTCTGATACCAGTGAGAAAAGGAACCTATCTCCCAGGAATAGATTTCACATACTTCTGAGAATTTATCCAACAGGCATGCTAGACAGAGCACAGACCATGGTAAATGCATGATGAATGGGACAGCACTGTGATCAGGACTGTTCAATTGGGCATCCTTTTGCCTTCTCTCTCTCTCTCTCTCTCTCTCTCTCTCTCTCTCTCTCTCTCTCTCTCTCT